TTTCCAGAAACACTACATTTCTCATAAGATTATGGAAATGGATCCAAAACCCACTGATGAAGTAAGCAATCAGCTGGTATCCCCAGATGCCTTCTAAGAGCTTGTAAAGCACCAGCACCAGCAGAACTGCTGCCAGCATCTGGGTTGGTGAGATAATACTTTTGCCCTGTTTTCCCTTGCTTCTTCTGATGCCCTGAATACATGGTGAGGACAATTTGACCAACTACTATCATCTGAGAACTGGGTAAGGAGCACAATGGAGGTACTCTGATCCCTCCAAATCTGTAGGCATTCATTTGCTTTACTCTTCATAGTGAGCAAATGCTATGTTTCAAATGCTAGGCTACCGTTGGGACCAGTTTGATGCAGTCGCCAAGTCCTCACTGCCTATTGATAACAATGCCACAAACCCAACACCTCTGGCTGATTAAGAAAGTGAACTTTGCCCTCGTTGCTGGTTTTGGTAGGAGAGATAATCCTGAATGACCTGGGGCAGATGAAGCAGATCTGAGCTGAAGCATAGGGTTGGCAAAGCATAAGCCAAGATGTGGATGCACTTTAGGCCTCCTATGCAAGGCTTGTCCTGTTATGTTAGAATTGTGGTGTTCAAGCTCTAGGTCATCTCAATTATTCACCACTTTCACAGAAATTCTGTGTTGATTTTCAAGTCTTAACAGTATAACCTTTATCCAAACATGAAAACTAAGTCATAGCCATCCACTGAACTTTAAACAAAAATACAGATTTTTAATAACAAATTTTTAATGGGACGATCTACTGTAGGAACCAACATCTCATATTAAAGAGGAGATAAAGGAACCCTCTAAACTTGCCCTTGCAGCTTTGCACGTGCAACCGGGGGTGCAAAAGCATTTCCCCATCCAAATTGCGTTTAATCATGCAGCTTCTGGGCAGACCTGGGTGCTGATTTTAAGAAATGTGAACTCTTCTCTTAAAGTCACAAAAAAACTACTCAGCTCACCCAGGGGAGGTGAATCAACTCTTCCGGGGTACCATTTCACAGATTATTGCTGCCAAAATGCTAAGGCCATTTGGGAATAAAAGCCCTAACCCACATAGGACCAAAGTTGTTACGTTTTGGTTCCATGGCTGGTACAAATTACAATCTGCCCACAAGCCTGAGTAACATAGGAAGAAGTAATAGGACTGCAGGTGAGCCAAGATTCCCAAGAACATTCAAAATTATCTTACCTGTCTTCCTGACGTTGGCCATCTTGGGAGCTACAGGTGAGGGTGGGATGTTTGAATGTGAGTGTATGTGTATGAGGTTCAGTGTGGCAAAGTGTGGGACAAGCAGAGGACGGGGCAGGAGGGCAGGATGGGGTATAAAAGCAGGACGTAGTTTTGTGAGCAGGCAGGAGTTATGCTTTCCTTGGAGTATATGCAAATGTTATGGATCAAATTAGAATGCAGATAGGTCTAATCATTTTCTCAAACTATACATGTCTAAACTAAATGGTACACTGGAAGAGAAAGTCCACCTTACATGGGTGCTGAGAGTTAAATATACAGACATATTTTGGTATCTGTTCAGTGCTGACCCAAGTCATGGTCAAAAGTACTATGAAAGCTCATTGTTAACTTGTCCTCAAACGAGAGGGTAATTGAGCCTATTTCTGCTTCACATAATTGTCCATGAATCTGTCAGATACAGAGTGGACATTTACCTTTAGGAAACCATTTTGATATTCTAAAGAGCAAAAAAGAAAAAATCCATTAAGAGCTCTTGGAAATTTTCTCTGATCTCTAATGTTACACAGAGCTGTAACAAGTTGAATAAATTCAACAGTTTCTAAAATGGAGGAATGTTCTTCTCTTTTGTGAGTCAAGAACATGTTTCCTCTCTGCTTTCTGTTCTATCTGATGTGTCAGACAACATTTTGATTTACATGAAAAATTTCTTAGGTGCTTTCTTGAGAATCCATAAAACACTCCTCTCAGCACATGCCTTCTCTGGTAGCAAATGGTTGAAATGAACAAAGAAAACCTAAACTCATTCCACGTGCTCTCATGTGGTTCATATTATCTCAATGATTTTTCAAGGTAGATCAAATCATTGTTTCTTCTTCAAGTGAAATCCACTACATTTCGTTTAGCGTCTTTGTGTGTTTTTTCCTTGAGTTTTTGTATGTACTGTGCCCTCTTAGGCAGTAAGTAGAAAAAAAAATGCATTAAGAAACTGCTACGTTCTGGAAATTAAATTGTTGAGGTTAATAGTGCTTCTTTATTAGTGGAAAGTATGTTTCATGCCCATAGAACACTACACAGCGTAAAATGAAGAGAAAGCTACTAAAAGCTCAAGATGGTGATAGGGACATGCACTAAATGGCAACCCTTCCAAACGGCAGCAAATAAACAAGGACCCTTTTCCATCTCTAGGAACTTGTATTAGGAGATACAAGATAGAGAACCAGTCACACTACAGTATTTGTATGTGCTGGGAGAGTTTGAAAAGGATATAAAATTAATTTATAAAATACCTAAAGTACGGTCCTTCAGTGTTTTTATTCACATCTTCTACCCACTTAGCTACATTATAGTCTCTTTTGAACCATGGATTTAAATACCTGCAGAAAGCAATGGAAGGAACAAAGAAAGCAGAACAAGATAGAAAATCTGAAAATACACAGCACAAGCTTAGCAAGTGGTCTTCACCCTCCATATGCAAGTGACTATGGCAAATAAACCAGGACAGATGCTGGGTGGTTATGAGGCAGTTTATACAATGGCATGAGAATAATCTCAGCTACAACAGGCTCAGGGCATTCGAGAACGTACTTGACAATTCTGGGAAAGCTTTTTCCAGTGGCTTCCCAAAGTAAATCAGAAACTCACTTTCAATCACGGCACTATCAGCAGCCCCATTCACCCACCTCCAAAGTGGCTTTTCCCAGGGCACCTCTCATGCAGCAGCTTGGTTTTCAAATAATAAAGGTGCTTTTTGAAAATATTCAGGCAGCTGCAATTTTAACCTGGTATTTGAGCATATAAAACCCCAAAAACAATTTAAAAGAGCAAAATTCTCATTACAACATGAGAAGAAGGCTTTTATATGGCCATTGTCTTAGTCCCTGAAGTATATATATCCCAAGCTGGAATCAACATATAGGACCCCCCCAATCAGCACTGTAAAGAGCCAAAAAGGTCCCATGCTCTTCTGCTCCCGGAGCTCCACAAAGTGGGTCCAAACAGGCCTCCATGATATTAAAGCTGAGTTTAGTAATTTAATTGTGGCCACATGTTTCTTTCTCCTCAGTGCATTCCAGATTGAAGTGTTCATGGTGCCATGAAGGAAATGGCCCTCAGAGCTGCCTTCTGAATGTCTGATGGTACACTGTGTGAATGACTGTCAGAGAATAATGATGACCTTAGTGAGAATTTCCCTGATGGATATGGCACTTACTGTATCAGAATGATTATGCAAACAATAAGGGCAGCAATGTCAGAGCTGTAGTTGTATTTTGGCCTAGAGTTTCCTTTTATTTTTACCCTGGGGGCCAAGCAAAAACACATCCCCTTAGAATTTGCCCTCGTAAAATAATATAAATTTAATAAATTCAGTATTGATCGAATTTGAGGGTTTGAATGGGTTTTCACTTTTAAAAAATGACTTTTAGAGATATGATAGGCAATGAAGATCCAAGCTTTGTAAAACTTAAATTACGTGGAAACGAAAAAGAAGAAATTAAAAAACACATTGTTTGTTTTTAACATTTGCTTCTTTCCTCCACATTTAGTTCTTGAGCTGTTTGTAAATATATTTAGATCCAAATCACATTTCCACAGTTACATTAAAAAATTAGGTTATTTTTCCATAGCCCTTTCTTTCATTTTTTGCCATAACGAAGGTACTCTACAAAAGAGCATCGTGATGCCCTCCTGAAAGAAGGGCTTTGCAACTTTTTTAGATTCATAAGACCATTTTTGCTAAGATAAGGTCTCCTGACTCAGGAGCAACTCACACTAATTTTTCCTTTAGCCACAACCATTGCCAACTTGCACTTTTCGCAGAGATAGCCAATGAAAACTTGCATAAAGATTAACACTGAGACTCTGAACCAAAAGAAAAAGTCAAAAAGCAAGTGCAGCCACTGATGAAGGCTTGTGAATGCTCTGGCCTGGGGAAAACTGTAGAAAAAGCCCATGCAGCTGTCATCAGGTGAATCATAGCCCCACAGCAAACTGAGTCTCCCACAGGCAGACGGCCACTTCTGGAGGAGACATTTGTTCCTTTCACTGACAACCTTAGAAACTCAAAGGGCTGGTACCATGGTGGTTCCATGAAAGCTACAATCACATGGCTGGTCTTGCAGTTGATGGACACTGTCCTCTGTTTCAGGGAGCATTTCAGAAGGCTGTGATCACGTCACCAGAGCCACTGAAGAGAACTCCAAATTGTTTGGTCCTTCTGGGGACCTGCCCATTAAAGTGCCTTCATAGTGGGCTTCCTAACATCTCTAGGTCATGGTGGCTGCAGTGATGGGATTTTATCAAACTGCAATAAACCTGCCTACGTGCTTTGATTTGGCTTGTAGCGCAACATGCAAAAAAAAAAAAAATGCATCAGACGGGATAGGAGAGCTCAGTACATTCTCCAGGATGAAAGAGCAGAGGAAATTTAGCTGCTGCTGGCTGGACCAGGAGCACCTCTGAGCAGACATGGGGGCTCGGCCAAAGATCAAATGACCCTGTTCTCAGCCAAGGAAGGGGCTTGGAGGGAGACTAAGTGGCAGCCCAGAGTAAAGGGGCAGGTGAGACTGACCTGTGATCCAGACTCCCTGTCTGGGGGCTGTCAGAGCCCCCTGGGCTTATGACTTGGGATGGGACTGTCTGGGCGAGGGAGTGCCCAGGCTCAGGTGCTTGGGGCTCCCTCCTGTAAAAACACAATATATAATACAAAGTCTAAGCCAAAAAAAAAAAAATGTTACATCATGTACAACAGTGAGGAAGATGCAAGAGGTTTGAGTGGGAAAATAAAATAACAAATGAGGATATTTTATTTTGTTAATGAGCACAGCATGTATTTGTGATGCATGTTCTAATTTCTGTCCCAATTTTTCATCATCTTTTGGGATGATAAGGTACTTAAGGGAATGTTGAAATAATGGACCTAAAATACCGCTGATGTAAAAAAAAAATAATAAAACAAAAGATGTTTTCCTGTGGTCATTCTCCTGCACTTATGGTCACACAAATGGCATTACTATATCTGAAGCAAATGGGATTAGTTGTATATGGAACACATAAAAAGTTTGCCAGGTTTACTCTTGAGAGGCTATGTATCAAGATTCCTTTTTATCTTTTTATGATGTTAGGGATCAAACCCAGGTCCTTATACATGCTAAATAAGCACTCTACCACTGAGCTATATCCCCAGCCCAGGAACCCTTATTTCTAAAGAAGTATATAAATGTGTGTGTATATATATATAGAGAGAGAGAATTTCCATACAAGAAGATATATGAGAATAGTGATCAGCATTACAAACTTGGCTCCATTTAACTAGCATCAGTCATGAAACCACAGCAGAAAATGCTGAAAAAATCTGAAGGAATCCTTAATATTTCTCCCTAACTATGGTTCTATTATGACATTTTATTCAATATTATAACTGACTTATCTTGTATCAAGATTTCTCAAAAATACTATCAATAGTATTATAGTTTTTATCTCATGTTGTGGGTGCAAATTTTGCCCCAAATTTTAAAAAATAAATGACTGCTCTAGGAAATACTGTATAAACATTGTTAAACACCAAATGTTCTTTGGGTGCTACACTCATAGCTTTAACATACTATGGAACTTTTTTTGTCCCCACTAGGGAGTTGTTGAAACCTTGTTATAGGAAATATTATTAAGACACTAAGTAATATACAGAGGAAGTTCTATAGAACATTTTACAGTTTTATCTGTACTCTTATAAGCAACTGAGAAGCTAAGGAGCTCTTACCAGGTGACCTCATGCAAAACAAATCAAATAACATTCCAAGAAGAGTTTATCCACAATGAGCCCTAAAGCATCCAAGCGCTTTGGGAATGCATAAGATAAACTCTAACAGATTAGTTACTTATGATGGAGTTCTATGATGCCATTCTGGACCATGCAATGGTATCATCTGAAATTGTCTATTGCTTCTAAGGTTAAGGATCCTCCAGTAAACTTGGATAAGTCACTTACAAGACAATATAATTCAGGTGGAAGGTCCAAATTTCAGGGCAATGTTATTATTCCTGGACTGAAAAAGCTAGGGTATACGATGGAAAAAGCTAACATAAGTTTCTGATGAGCAGTTAACAAACACCTGCTATTCAGACTTTTAAAATATTAAGGCATGAAGAAGCAGTAGAGATCCTGGGGATAATAACTACCACTACAGTGAAAAATTAGTGGAAAAACTTGGGTGGCTTTAAAAAGCACAAGTAATTAAAACCAAGTAGCAAGGTGGGTCCAAAAGATTACTAAAAGTGCATCTCATTCCATGAAGGGAGATAAAGGTTTAAGGAAGCTTTGTTTTGATTGTAATTTCTTAAGTGGAAAAAGAAAAACAAAGAAAAAAGTGCATGGTGTTGACTTCATTATAAAAGATTCAAATAAATATATTTCCAACCCCACCTGCACTAAAAAAAAAAAATCGTGGCTATCATTTAAAATGAATAATGTTGCATTTAGTGACAATGATTCAGTTAAAGTGCAAGTTTAGGTAAATGCCCTTTTAAATGTCCTCAGAAGGAAAATTTAAAAGGGAAACTGATTCCATTAGTCTGAGAGAATGCTTAGATTGCAGCCATGACGACCTCGGAGCGGTGGTTTCAGACCTGAGCACCATCATGGTCTAGGTTGGTGGGAGTTTTCCCCTGATGCTTCCAGGGCTGTGTGAGTACTGGGGAGAGGAAGGGTGACCCTCTGAAATGGCTGGACCCCAGGTGATGAGAAGAAAGGAATGTTATCAAAATTCCCTTCAAAGGGAACCAAGACACCACATGGCAGGTGACTGGAGGGAAAGGCTCACAGTGAGGGCGAGCCCCCCACTAGCAGTGAATATTGGTATGGGCACAGTTGCGGAGATGCCTATGTAAAAGAGAAAAGCCATGGTTAATTTTTAAAGGGCAAAAAAGAATTTAAAGACAAAACCAAGACCAGAAGCATGGTTTACTGTTCTTTGATGATCAGCTTAATTAACATTTGACACTAATTGCCCAGGACCTTGCAGTGCCTTTTTCCATTAGAGGTTCAGACTTACTCAGTTGAATTAGATCGAGGTCTAAATCTTTTGCCTCTGATTTTCTTTCTGTTGTCACCCACATTACCTGGAAAAAAAAAAGGGGGTTTATAGCTAGATTTCCAAATAATAAATGATTGCTCCATCACTCATTATACAGTATTTTAAATGGGTATGATTCAAAACCAGCACCACCCTAGAAGACAGGGGGCGCTGCACACTCTACAGCCTTCCCAATGTATCCAGTACATTGGTGCTGACAAATCCCATCATTTCCCATCCATGGAAAACAAAACTAGACTCTCATTCCAAATACGTTTCCTCTCTGTTGGGAGAAGAGCTAAAGAGCTTACAGGAAATAACATATCTTTACATCCAGGGAGCACAGAATACAAAACTTGGGCTGGATCTACAGATGAATTCAGAATGTTACCCTTATACCTTGCCAAGAGTTACTTCGAGGTCGCCCATTTTCACAGATATCTGAAATATGTTTTGTGTCTGGAATCCTTTCACTCCAAGAATGAGAGAGCCCATTTGACCTGAAATTGAAAATATTTACATATTGTTCAAAAATGTAAGCAAATTAACTTTTTTGAAATTAGTAAGCAAAACTTCTTAGCATTACTGTGCATCAAATAAAATAAATCAAGAAAAAAATCTGAAATGAAAGAATGACGAGAACATGAAAGTCTTCATGAAAAAGGCAGAAATACACAACATTCAATTTAAGAAAAGTCAAATACAATGGAACCCCATTACAATAGTCTATACTTGAAAAGTATCAGGACAGGATACAAGCCAATTTACCTGCCCCAGAACACAGCAACCACAAATGGCAAATTTGCTGTGTATTTCAGTTACATAACCCCAGCAGCAGCATTTATAATGGGGTCCCACCATAGATGTTTCTTAATTGTAAAGCAATGGATTCCATTCCAATATTATGCAAACATGGACTTCCAAGAGATTACATTAAGATTTGCTTAACTGAACCTAGTTAACCTTTATCAAAGTAATATTTAGTTTTCTGGATTTGGCATTTTTCTCCCCAAATATATTCCAAAGATGTGTAGTACATTTCAGTTAGTTGTTTGATAACTGAACTGAAATCAGATGTTTACCATGGAACTCTTTCTCACAAAGCCCATGTACCATTCAGCCCTTCTGTTAATTGTGTCCTACCATCTTTAAATGAATTAGCTACAAGAAGCAAAATTTATACACCTACCTTGTACCACATAACAAAAGAATTTTGACAAATTACGTATACTTAAATGCCTAACAGTTGGATGTATTTTTAACTGGTTAAAAATAGTAACCCACTGAAAAATTTCTAACAATTCAAATGAATATTTCAAGCTCTTTTTTAGGTATTTGATAAAATAGTACTATACTTAAAAATATTTTTCATATGTCACTCTGGTTAGTTGCTAATAATACCTACTTTAAAGGGAGTCTTCTGCTGATGAGTGAAAACATGGAACTCAGCACAACTGGTACACATCAATGCTGTAGGTTGGAACTTTTTCAACATGATTTGCTTCTTAGAGAAGCAAATCATGTTGAAATCCAGAAATCCTTCTGGAACCCACTGATTTCTCTATTTTTTTTCTATATTATATAAAGTTTTGCATTTGACCAAGAAAATACTTATATAATGAGAGAATTCAAGTAAATCTTTGTCATCTTCTTTTCTTAGCCATCAATCCCTCAATAAATTAAAACACTAAAAATTTTTAAAACACCCTTCTGCGGGTCAAAATGTAGCATTTCATCTTTTGCATTGAATTCTGATATCTAAGTGAAAACTATCCTTCGCATAGAATTTCCACATAGAATTCACCAATTCCTTCTATTCACCTTTCTGATCAATGTTGATAAAGACTGAGCACCACTGCAGAATTTTTACAGATTATTCACTCTCCCTAGAATACCAGAAGACATCAGATTCGTCTCAATAAACTAGGTGTTTCACCCTCACACTACAAAGCAACAAATGTGCCCAAAGTCACGAGTAGGGCTACCAAAACGTTTTTCCTTCCCCCTACTTCCATTTTTTTAGTTAAAGAAATTCTTCTACAAGAATATTTTAGCTTCCTTCAATGTGGTATGTCTCATTCCCTACAACATTCCAACTATTTGTTTCTTCTACACATTTATTTTCAAGCAATTTTAAAGCATGCAGAATTTTAAATGGTGTCATACACCTTAAGATGCTAGAATAAGAATATATCATCAGAGTTCAAGACAGAAATAATAGATAAATCCCACCTCTATTATTATAAAATTCAGGCAATTATTAAGCATACTTAAATTAATTTGTCAACTGAGGTGTAAGTTATAAAAGTCTGCAAATAATCATTCCAAAAAAAGGCAAAATTATAATATTCAATACATGATTCACAAAGAAGCAATCTTTGTTTCACAGCGAGCTTAGCTTTGATATATATAAAATTAAAAAATAGTAAATGCAGCACTTATATTACCAATTTATGTTAACTGCTTTTATTGAAGCATGACAGTAACCTTTTTCTTTGACTACCAAACATGACATAAAGCTCACCATTTAAAATTATTAAGTACTATGCAAAGTTTCTTAAGCTATATAAGAGCAAGACTGAAAGACCCCGAGGTTTCCAAACAGATTTAGAATTATTGTTTATTTTATTTTGTTTTTTTGTTTCAATTTTGTGGCCTGATTTATAGGTCAAGTGGTTTTGAGCATATGGCATTTTGAAGCAGAGTAATCAAAGAACAAAGGATACTATTTTTTAACATTCAAGAAAGAAGGAAGAAGTAATCAAACCTGCTGCAAAATAATGAAATGTTCTGACTAATGGAATAATGTGTGATGGAACAGGTAGAAATCTGAAAATGCGACAGAAAAGCAGACCTCTTCTTAGAACTAGATGCTGAGTTTGTGCTGACTCCAGGAGGAATGTCGCTATAAAAAGAGTCGCCATCTCCAGGCTTTTTTACATAATCTCCCTGGGGTAACTGTCTAAGGCATAATAAACATTTCAGAGTCAGAAAACAAGACACACACATGAACACAGACATATACAAATCTTATTTTAGGAAAAAGAGAGGTAGGGATAATGATCTACATGAATCAAATCTATAACAACACATAAGATTATTAATAACTGTGACAAATTAAAGTCGTTCTAACTGTTGAAGTCAGAAATGCAATCACTGAAGTCTTTATAGGTTGGATGAATAAAGCATTGCTTTGAGAGGGAAAACATGGGAGGATGAGTTTTGTTTGTTTGTTTTTTCGCTGTAACTTCATTATACTCAGAGATGTTAGCTGAGTATCAATTTTAAAAAACTGATGTTGAAGCACACATAGTAGAACAGTTCTTACCCAGACAAAGCAATTAGGTTTTGAGGGGTTTTTTTGCACCATGATGAATAAACTATTCATGATTTCTAAACATAACAAAATGAACGTAATCTTGATTTAATTTTAAAAGAACTCATTAATTTCTAAGCTATTTTATAATTGAATCCAGATAAATTCTCATTAGAGTTTAATGTTCCATGTGGAGCTCCATTGTTCATTTAAAATAAAAAAAGGAAAAAAAAATTAAAAGAAGATTCAGAGTTGAATCAAAAGGTAATTTTATAATTGTACACTTGAATATGTGAAGGAAGATCATTTAATAGGAGGAAGAAAGGGTTGAACAGTTAACTGAATTTCTGTGGAGACTATGGAAGGACATTTGTAGGAGGACAGTGGGTGGCAATCCTCCATCTCCACTGTGGTAGGAGAACAAGAACAGCTGTTTAATCTGCACAGGTATTAACCCCATTCATCTCTCTTTGAACAAACTAAAATTGGTACAGATTTTTATTACCTCTTCTAAGTGAACCAGATAGAAACTTTATATAGCCCCACCGCCCCCACAGTCAACCCTCTCACAGTGCCAATCGGATCACCTGCCAGTGTGTGTCGCCCAAATAGACAACTTTCACCCAAACCTGACTCAGTTCATCCAGCGCTATTACTGAAGGTGGCACAAACTAGCACTGGACTAAGAATTTTAAACAGAGCTACACTTAAATAAATAAATCTCCAACAATAGCACAAATTTGCTAATTCCTTTTTCATGTTTGGTTTCTCCTTAGTTACTATGATAAGCTTGGTTACTTACTGATGCTAAATTTCAACCCCCAAATGCCACTTTCAGATGTCTGCTTGTCTATATTGATTCCCAAATTGTTGTAAATATATAAAATATTTCATCATTTGTTTTCTGATGACTGTACATCCCATGTCATATTATGTCAATGCTATGTGAACACATCTCTAAAAATCTCAAAAAGTTTTCAATGGAAATAAAAAGTATGTGCTTTAACTTGTATGGTTTAAGCTACTTCTCTATATTTTAATTTATAAAAGGAATTCTCACTAACTAGGTTATAATATTGATTCTACCCATAATTTTTTCATATAGTTTCCTCCAAAATATATATTTTTTAATTCTATAAGTGACTTCAGCTCATGACAGTTACCTTTTCTTTTTCCTGGTTATTATGAAAAATTAATTTTATAGGGAAAATATATAAGTCTTGATACTTATAGTGTTCAGTTCATAGTAACAACAAACAATATATTTTCCTTTGTAAGAGATCTTTGATCTCTATTCATATTTTCTGTTTTATCCCACATTAGGAACATACTCCTTCAATACTTGAAAAACAAAATGCCCTTAATAAAATCAGAGTTCCATATTTTGTCTCATGGAAGAAACTTCCCTCTTGTATTATATAAGTATGTTAAAAAGATTACTACAGAATGTCAGCATCATATGTCCAATAACAATATTGATGGCCAATATAGTCCTTCTCTCCCTATTACCTTTAATGATGATCTTAGGAAGGCAATGAGATGTGCCTCAACAAATTCAAATTAAACAAAAACAAGCTATTATATAAGAGCTCAGAACCACACCGAACCTTTCTTTTTACTTTCTTTCCCCAAATGACCTTTTCTTCACAGATTTTTGGCTTTCAGGTATTTACCCTGGCATTCTGATACTGCATGTGCAGATGGACTACCTCCCACATTGGAACCTAGTTCTGTTTTGTCTTAGACTGAGAATGTTTTACCACCTCTTCAAGGTAACTTCTCTGTGGTCACGTCCCTTTTTACACAGTGCACAAACATCCTAAATGGCAGACATAAAAGCTATGGGCTTCAGTCAAGGAGCTGAAAGGGAGTTTCAATTTAATGTACTTCTGGGGAACCACCTCCTTTAACAATCCAGCAAGATTTGATTCTTACCTATGTTCCCTATAAAGTCTCCAACATACAGAAACTAATTTTCCACATTCTCCTGAAAATTCCACAAGGAATGGATGCAACTTGTTTTCATACTTTTTTTCTGTGGTAGGTTTTGAATGTTTAAAAAAAAACTCTTAAGAATAATATTTAATATTCTTCACTGTCCATAAATTTATCTTTTAAAAATATTCATTATGCATTTTTAAAAAACTATTTCTTCTTGTTTTAGAGGAAGTAGAGAATATTAGGTCCCCAGGGTCAATAAAATAATAATAAAAAACATCATTTGTTATGAAACATCATAAAAAATCAATTAAATAATGCCCTTAAAAATTTTAAACTGAACTTTTCCCCCTAATTCTTTATTAATAATTTTTACAGATTTCTTCCTACATTTTGAGTGTTTTTCATGTTCCCTCAAATCTGAATTTGAAAGTGATTACCTTGGTCGATGGCCTGGCTAGTGGTTTTATAACAGGAAAAATCACCTCATATTTCTCATATTATATGCAAACATTTTAGACATGTACTTGATTTTTGGTAAATAATAACCAAAATGAATGCTATGTAATTAAGTTCTTTTTCCTCAAAGGTCATCCCTTCCTACATTAATTACAGATTGTCTTTTTTTCCTCTCTACACATTTTCATACCAATTTGTGCTTTGAATTGATGCATCTCATTCGATAACATTCTTTGAAGGTAATCCTATTCTCTAACACAAGGAACAATCCCTATAACTTAATGACTTTGGAGGAGCTGATTCATACAAACTGTTAATTATTATTTATTTCTAGGACTACAGTATTCATTGTTATTGTTTTCTTGTTCTTATTCTATTTTAGAAGATAACATGTTTATATTCATAAATCATCTAGCTATGTGAGCACTATAAATTTAAACATTCAAAGAGACTTCTGGGATCACCCCAAAAGTCTTTAAGCAAATTGTTGATCCTGTTATAAGAGAAGTCTGATCTTTCCTAAAAGCATCCATTGATCTTTAATATTAATTTTGACAATACTTATGCTTACTGAACATGAAATAAAAAAATTTAAATAAGTCTTAATCTTTCTCTTGTTGAAATTGTTAATTTACTATTTTAAGAAGTATTGTTCAAGGTATACCAATATTTTCTAAAATAGTATATTAACAGAAGTATAAATATCACTGAAATAATATTAAAAGAAACCAAGAAGGGTTTGGAAAAAAGATAGGAAGTCCACAAGCAGAAAACAAAGTGCCTAAAACATGAGAGAGAAAAAGAAAAAGAAATAAAAAAAAGAAAGAAATGGGGGTGGAAAAGAGTAGACTGCTTAAGATAAAACCATAGATCAGAAAGATGATTTATTATATTCTATTTTTCATTAATCATAGTAATGTATGTTCATTTCAGAAAAGAAAAGGATTTCAGCTGAATAGGGATGTTTTATAAATCTAAGTTCACTTATTATTTCTTACTCTATTTACAAACAGGCCTGAAAACTAAAACCTACTTATAATTCTTGTCACAACTGCTAAATCCTAAAGCTATTATACTATGATACAAATAATAACATCAAGTGAAAAGTGTGGAGTTTTTTTTTTCCTGGAAATTTAAAGAAAAAGGATAAAGGAGCTTCTGCATGGCTCCTTGGTTCCATGGATATATGCTTCATAAGGTGACACTGACAGGTTTCAACTGATTGTACATGAGTGGGGTTTTGCCTCCACTGGTCCCAGAACAGGGCTTCTATTCTTTTAAGTAAGCAATTTGTGAACAAAAAGAAAGAAAATAGGTTTGCTTCTCATCTTTTTTGTCAACTTGCAAGTAAACAGACAACACAATCCTTAATATACTTAAAACCTTGAGGACACATTCTCAGGAGGGAAAATTATCAGGTTGTCACATTCAATTACAGAATTACTTGCCTGTCTCCTCAAATAAATTGAAAGTTATGTATCATTTGACTTTTTTTAATAAGAAAATGTTGAGACACTACATACTTATTAGATCTTGATTTTGGTGTCAAAGCAAACCTTCATGTTCACCAATTCTACCAGCTCAGCTGGTAGGGGTGGGCCTCATTCAGATTGAGGACAGCTACATTCCTCTTTGAGAACAACATCCACCTCTTTAATTTGAAGATCAGAGAAACACAAAGTCTTTAGAAACCATACAAATAACTTCTCTTTACCATAATGCTTTAAAGATTACAAAGAACTCTTTTTGATTACAGAGTTGAGGAAACTTGTGATTTCTCAATATCTCATACTAGATTCCTAATTCCTTGTCAATTGCTCCTCCCATCACAGGAAAAACTTAATTTAAGACAATGACAACCCAAAATTCTTAATTCTACTTCTTATCATCCTTTGGAACTCAGATATTTATTTGAATGACTACAAATAATTGTACAAGACTAAAAATTTCCTAATGCATGCTTTGTTCTGTTGGCCTGACCCCTTCTCCATCATTACATGTACTGTCAGGGCTAGAAGTATAGCACCATAGTTCAGCACTTGCCCAGCATGTATGAGGCCCTGAGTTCAATCCCTGGCACTTGAAAAACAAACAAACGAAACAAAACAAAACAAAAACAACCTAACATATCTTCAGAAAGAAAAATCCTTCAAAAGATACCTATATATTCATAACTTCCTGATTTAAGTCCATTCACTGTTAATCTCCATTTTGAGAATTATTGTACAAGTCTAACATTCATTAGCTATGGACAAGGATGAAAAAAAAAGCTTTAGGTGAATTATATCAAATATATAAAACAAATACCCACTGTAGTTGTGACAACTCTCAAAACGTACTAGATTCCAAAGGAGTAGTCATTTGAAAATATTCCAAAAGAGTAGTCATCAATGAAATGATGACGTAGTAACACTAGAAGATGTGAAAACTTATTAGTCAAATACAGGAGATTCATAGTGTGAAAATGCTTTAAACTGTATCCATGCATATGTTGAGTTAGAATAAAAAATTGGTGCATAGTTTTAAACAAAGCATTTTTGTAAAGTGTGGGCAATTTCCTTATTCTGGATAGCATTCTTAGGGACAACAAAACTTAAGAGTACTCTTTTGGCTTTGCTTATGTTATATAATTGAGTCATTTTGCTTTCTTTTTTATATATCCAGCAGTATTAAATTACATTATTGCTTTAGTTCCTCTGGAAATGGAGCTCAAACATAAATTCTCTGTCATATCAACCAAAGTCTGTCTTCCACTGAAGAAAGCTACCAACCTTAGATTTCTGATATGACTAAATCAATTTCAACCCAATTAAAAACCTAAATGGCTCTTTCTCAAGTGCTTACAGACACAAGAGTTCAAAATAGGGGACTATGGCTGAAGCTCAGTGTCAGAGCATTTGCCTAGCACATGTGAGGCACTGGGTTTGATCCTTAGCACCACATAAAAATAAATAAATAAATAAATAAATAAAAGGTATTGTGTCCATCTACAACTAAAAATATTTTTTAAAAGAGTTTAAAACAAGTCACAAAGAAATCTACTTGTTTCCAAAATTTAGTCAATTTTGTCTCAGTTTCACGTTTTTTATTAATGATGTGTTAGTTACTCCAGGGCAAGGTCAATATTTCCTAAACCTATGCTAACTGGTACCTTGTGGATATCTTAGAATTACAGATAGTCTACAGATATTTATGGCTAGAGTCTTCAGCGGTTTTAGATTTAAACAGAAACATACAGAAAAATAAAGTTTAATTTTTCAATTTGTAAAAAAAATGAAAGTTGTGGTTAGAGACTGGAAAAGTATCACCACATTTATTACATCTTATTCTTAACCTGCCTCAGGCAAGTAATAGAACTATGGAAAAAGATAAGTAGGTAGCAATTTGCACAAATACCCTGAATGCAGAACTAAATACTGTATGATACACAAGACCTGGTCTGAGTTATTAATTTCCATGACATTTTGATTTTTTCTATCCATAGTTAATAGTATTAGTAACTTTTTAAATGTGAAAAGTGAATGGTATGCCCCAGCACTATGTGGCAATTTATATAAAATTAACAATTCTTACAGAACAACAAAATTTCTTTGTATGTCTTTTTATATGGTTGCCAAAGATGGATTATAAAGTTATGTTGAATAATTTTCTCTGTGGGAATTTTTATTTAATAAAAAAAGTACAGGAGACAATCAGAGATTCGAACTATGCAAATTCCTTCTTTAACTACCTATGTGATCACCTAATCAGAGTAAATTGTTTTTTCTTATGCACAAATAACATTTTCACCAAGTGCCAGAACATTCCCCTGGTAGCTACAGTGTAGTCAAATAAATGATCACTTATGAATGAAAGTTATTAATATAACAACAGTAACAAAGAAAAATAAATTTCCTCAGATAGTATTAGGCAATAAGAGTGTCATAAACATAAAGAAAAGTCAATAAACTAATGTAAACAAACATGACAACTTAACATGAAGGAAGTCTGTTTTTGATGGAAAAATTCAATTTCTGTACATATATAATAATAAAAATAACACAATTAAAACTATTTCAATATCATGAAAAATCAAGATCAATGTAGAATAAAAATAAAGTGAATTTGATTTATAATTGCATGTATGAATTCCAGTGATATGAATCAGGGGTTAAACCTTTCAGTTACATGTTCAGATTAATCTAATCACATACCTCTGTTCTCGATAGTTTCTTTTCATGAACAAGAAGAGAAAGGGGAAAAACACAAGAATTAGTTACCTATGGAAGCACATTAACAGAGCACTCTACATAAAAGCTCTGGAATTAATTGAAAGGACTTTGCTAGAAGATTCTGAATTGCAGAGTTAAAACGGGGAATACACAAAAAAATTACACTTTATCATTAGGAAAGGTCACACCAATAGACTGGTGACATTTTTGTCAGATAATTTGTCATTTTTAAACAAATAAATAATCTTTAAAGAGTAACTTTCTACAACATCAATTGTACTACACTGAGCATTAGTAATATTCTAGTGATTAGTAAAATTCTAATCCTATTTTAAATACAGGTTTTCAGACACATATGTTGATTTAAATAATAAAGTTGATGAATCCAGTTACTTGTAAAAATTAATTATATTTTCATAGAAATAATAATCATAATGTATTTCTGTTAGAATACAAACCCCCAACTATAGCTGTTCCTACCTAAGAATTTCAAATAGGAAAACATAAATGCACACCAGAACATTTGATTTCATCATGTGTGACAAATGAGTGAGTTAATTCACAGCTGTTATGGATGACCTTTGTAGTTATTACTACTTATTCACTCAAGTATCACATTGGAAATTCCTGCTCCATGTTTAGTCTTTTTTTTATTTGACCAAATACTAAAATAAACTTATGTTTATTTGCCATATGATAAAATAAACTGATCTTAAAAAATTGTTCTGAAGGGTGTAACAGTGCAATACCAGTGAGTTTCAAGAGTTGTTGACTTTCTCTCTTGACATAATTAGAATATATGGAAGACTGAGTTATTTGGGACTCCTTCCTCTAAGATCAAGGACAATGTCTAAACGTGAATATCCTTCCTGGCATCTCCACCTGTGGATCCACTCCACCCACATTATCAGGATCATAACAGGCACAAGAGGGTAAAAGTGCCCATTTGTTATGAGTTTCTATTTTGAAGACTTTTGGATGGGGGGAATATAAGCCTGGTATCTTTCCATTCAGCATGTTTTGCTTTTTATTCCCTCAAGCTGATTACTTGAGCCATACAGTTCCAGATGAGGATTTCTCATTTCCTATTCCTGCTATTCCCCACCCAGGGCTTCAAGAAAGAGTGGAAAGTTTAACAAGCAGACCTAAGAAATGAAAAAAAATGAGTTCCCAGACCCTAAATCTGCTTTTGATTTTCAAAGAGAACATATGAAATATCACTTATTAGTTTAATTCCTCTATTAAAACTTCTAAATTCTCATTCTATTTCTAAATGTATTCAAATAAATTTAGAAACATTAAAGTGTTAATCATTTAGGTTCAAATTACTAATGAGGGGAATACTGTAATATGAACAATATTTATCTTTTTCCTTAATCAACCTGAAAAATGTATGTATTCAGAAGTGTATTTTAAAGAGTAAAATCCCAAATGAAACAAATAGAAAGCAGGTTATTTCAATAAACAGACACAGGTAATTTTATAAGCAAAAGGAAAGTGTTAAAAGTTTCATGTTTTCTGAACAGGAAGTCTGTTGGAACAAGATTGGAAAGATGAAATATCCACATGCATCAGTAGGTGGCAGAAAATCACACCCTCCAGAGTTATCAATTATCCTTTCTATTTTCGTGTGACCAAATGAAACCACTGAGCTGCTTCAAGATAGCAATGCTTGTGATGGCAATTACTTCAAAAGTCCTGCATCAGGGAGGTAGAGGAAACAGTGTGACCTAAGGTGCAGCTTACCCACCTGCAGTTGTAAGGGGATGTCATATGATGAAAAGCTTTCTTTACAGACATATGATTTTAAAACTTAAAATGTTTTGCTGAAGTCAGAGTGTGCAAATGTAAATTTGCAATATACCAAATGACCTGCACATAAAAAAGGCTCATAAGCATCTGCTATGAACTGGTATAGAGATAAGTGATGCAGATTTAATCAGAGCAGAGCTTACTCCTCTGCTATGTGCTCCTTCACTATGTCATCCCTGCTACACTCTACTACACTCTAGTATGCTGTCTGGGCAACTTGTTAATACAGTCTTCTGTGAGAGTCTGTCTGTCTTTAATGCCGGCTGTATACAACATTTATCCTGGCCGTAAAGTCACTGTGCTCCCTTTTCAAAGATACTCTTTGAAGGTTTAGAGCTTACAAGCAATTGACATATAGTCTTTCAAATGTGTCTCCTTTAATTTGATTACACATCTCCATGATAAGTGATAATAATTATAGCAATTACATAATGCTTTCTGTGGGCAAGGTATTGAAAGTTTGATACATATCAACCCACAGAACAAAGATGAACCTATTAAAAAATATGGCATAACTTTAAAATTCCAAATATTCTAATTCCCATTTTTTTGACCCAAGTTCAATTCATGCTGAAAAATATGCTGTGAAATGAGATAATGCCAGGAATGCTGAGCTAAAGTGCTAGGGCTTCCAAATGGAGAAAAACCCAAGGCTGGTGGACAGGAACATTGTCATTAGAGATGGACAGAATATGACTTTAAGTTTAAATACTAAAGAGAATGAAAGGTTGACCATATTTAAGTTTTAACTTACTAAACTTAAATTAGTTTTTGTAGACAAAAGAAATTTTTCACATCCTAAGTATTTAAAGAGGAAACTGAACACATTAAATCTATAAATAAATGCTTGAAGGCATTTACTTAAGAAAATGTTTAAGAGTATCAAATATTCAAAAGCAGTATGACTTTTAACTTTTTAAAATTTACATATAGAATCAAAAAGTTGTAAGTTACACTATAAAACTTAAGGAAGAATTAGGCTTTTGATTTTTTTAACATGGAGTTTTCATTTTAACAAATCAAATATCATGACAGTTTTTTCTTCACATAAACACTCATGTACATCACAAAAAGTTGTGCCTCCTTCATGGGACAAGGGGTATCACCTTAATGAGATGAATGGCTCATTAAGAGATCTGCTGCTTCTGTTCTTTGATAACTGTTATTATTGTGCTGCTCTCTGACTGACTGTCTTGCCTAGATTTTGAGTATGGTTTAAGTAAAGGAAACCGTCATTAAAAAGCAAAGAAACCTAGCCTTTGTATTAGACACAATTTAAATTGATTTTAACTCACTTCAGTAATTTTGAAAAAAAAATATTCAGTACTTTCAGAACAGAAGGGAATTGTCTCAAAATCTAAAAACTGCTAAAATTATTATTACCTCTAACTATGCCAAAGGTTATCATTGATTGTTGAGCCAGACTGTTTTTTCAATGCAAGCGTATTTATCCAATAAGATAAAACTTTCTAGATGTTTTCATTTAATCAATGTGTTTCAAAATATGTTTTATAGTACTAATACTGAGTCATTTCACTTACTTATAACCCCAGGCAGTTATTCCTAATATGAGGGCCAGCATTAAAATGGTGCCGGCAATTATGCCTATTATGATATTGATGCCAGCAACACCTGGATGGAAAAAAAAAAAAAGAACATCAGTGAGATAAAATTCCTTCAGAACTTCATTCTTCAAATTCGTAATCATCACATTAAGAACACTATTTGTTTAAAACAAAAAGTAAGAGTTTCAAAGGAAAGAAAAATCAACCATATGTCAGCAAGCCATATCAATCCTTTTAAAACGAATTTACGCTCCTTTTTAATTCTTGCCCAAGTGCATTTTGCACAGTTGTACTTCCCATGTATTTTTCTGGGAAACCTTATGTCATTAAACTAAAACATGGAAGAAGAATGATACTAAGAAAGTACCCTTTAGGAAGGAATTTTAAGAAATCTGTTCTGTAGGGAGCCATCCATGTGCTATATGTGGGCTACCATGCATCGAAGCCCACTGAATAGGAATAGCTGATGTCTGGGAACTTCCAGTGGTCATTTCCTCTGTGTAAGACTGCCCAGAGACACTGTGAATTCCTATTCCACTCTGCCATGTCCCACACACACACACAACACCTGAGATGGGTGTGACTAGCCAAGATGCCAATCAACCTGCTGACTGCAAGACATCACAAAGCAAGATTCCACCCTTGAAACCTTATCCCTGCCTTTGATGTACCCCCTTAATAAACCACTGGAGCCATTTTGCCTTGTCTAGTTCCAGCTCCCATGTGGACTAAACCTATCAGAGCTCTGCTTTTGAAAATGTGTTTCTGACTCTTTGTCTTTTGTTCTTCACTAATTATTCTACACTTTAATTTCTCAGGTGACTTACACCCTCCTCAGCAGGAAGAAGAACCCCCCCATCAAGAAGCTGTCATCCCCTATAGTGTTCCTTTTGACCCTTATTTCTTTCTCTGAAATTCTAGAAGTGTTATTACTTAAATTACTCCATTTTGACAATTAATGCAAGACCCTTGCTGCTCTAAGTTATGTGTGTGATATTTTGTCTCTCAAAGTGAATATAAGCTTCTTAAGGGAGAAAATACATCTACAGGTTTCTATGATCAGTACTCAGGGGTGCAGATGATAGAAGTACTGGCTTGTCACTCCCAGTTGGACAACAATGGCTGTGGCATCCTAGGGGAGAAAACCCCAAAGGGAAAAATGGTCTAGTGAGGGGATGTTGGTGTCATTGTGGCACAAGAGGGAGGTGGCACCAGGAGGGCAGAGGGAAAGGGGAGCAGAATACAGGGCAGACAAAACTCAGGACTGAGCGATGGCATTGTCAGCACCCATCAACAGGCAGGTTGAGATGTGATCCCTAAAGGATCATGGCAGTGAATCCAACCCATAGTCAGTAAGTCCATGTAAAGGACTAAAGGCAGAGAAGGCCCATCCAAGGCCTGGCTCCCACACTGCTAATTATGATTTATACCACGTTTAATTGTATGCAGGGCTTTCATCCACAGCAGCTTAGACCTTTCCTTGTCTGTTCCTGAGACATCCTTCTAGACAGCAAAGGTTAGTGATCAAGGGTAACTGGAGATTTCAATTTCCCATGGCAGAAAATAGCAGTCCTCCAGTCTGGGAGCCCTCAGGAGTCATGCAGGAGAACAATGCTAGGGCATCAGAGGAGAGTGGACAGCTCCCCTGTAACAGGGGTGGATGCAGATGCCAGTGCATCTTCTGGGTCACTGGGATTTTCTTATTCCAAGACCTCAAATGTCTGTCCTCACTTCCTTTTCATGAAGGGTTTTAATAGGGACAAATAAACTTAGATGCTAGTCTTGATTATTTCTAAGTAATGGTATGTCTTTTGGTAAGTCACTTAAACCCATGTGCTTATAAATATCCTCACCTCTGCATTAAGTATGGAAACAAGTTCCACACTACCACTTACTGCTGCTAAGTCTGAGGATCCTAAAATCTTAATCATTCTGTGACTTTCTTTATTAAAGTCACACTAGCTAACATTTCCAATCTGTCTAGATGACTAGAAGTAATATATTTCTTAAGTTTCTCATCCTTTGGAGGCAAATGGACTTCAGGATTTTAGCATTATTTTATGCAAAAGAATATGCAATAAAATGGTTTAAAAGAAGACATTTACCTTTAAGGTATGAGTTATTACAACTATCTGCATTTAATTTCCACTTCTCCACCCAAGCAACCCCAGCTTTAAGAAATGTGTCTCCCTGTTGTTTCTGATCCAAAAACCGCTTTCAGGAAACTTGGCCAACGTATACTTCTAGTTCAGGTTGAAGAAGTGTAGTTAAAGGTTGGTGAGATTTTATAACAAAGAATATTAAAAATAAAATTTTAAAAATCAATTCTTAATTTTTCTTTTTCTTATTTATAAAGTGTGTACATATAAAATTCTCCCTTTGCCAGGCACAGTGGTGCACACCTGTAATCCCAATGACCTGGCAGTCTGAGGCAGGAGGATCACAAGTTCGAGAACATCCTAAGCAATTTAGAAGGGCCCTGAATAACTTAGCCTAGACCCTGTCTCAAAACAAATAAATAAATAAATAAATAAAAGGGCTGATGATATGACTCAGTGGTTAGGTGTCTTTGGGTTTAATCCCTGGTACCAAAATAGATAAAAATAAAATAAAATTCTCCCCTTAAACTATAAGTATTTTCTTTTTTTTAATTTTTTTTAAACTATAAGTATTTTCTTCATTCAAAAGAAATGCTAGGTTTTGTTGACAGCCTCAGTTAAGTGGAAAACTTGAAAAATTTCTCTGAAGTAGGACATGTTAAGGCTAAGTCATTAAACAAGGTAATACTCAACATGTAAATAATTATAATTTGATAAAAATGATTAGTTTCATAAGGTGGACCCCACTTGTATAGTATAATTCATTATTATGTATATATAATTTATTTTGAGTTATCATAAAATAACTTAAATAGGGCTGGTGTTGTAGCTCCGTGGTAGTGTGCTTGCCAAGCACATATGAGGCCCCCTGGGTTCAATCCTCAGCACCACATAAAAATGAACAAATAAAAATAAAGTTTAAAAAAGAAAAATAACTTAGATAAAAATGACCAAAGGGAAGTTCTCTATTTACTTGTGCAAAAAGATGACATAATGACACCAAATTAAATATCTACCGTTGCTAGTCTTTGGACCTTCATTGTGAAGTAACAAAGTGCTGCAGTCTGCACCTGTCCACAGCGTATCACAGACACACTTCAGGTCGTTACTGCAAACCTGAAATCCAAAATCAAGCTAGAGTAAGTATCAACTCTCTGGTACAAAGGCATGAAAAATAAACTCTAATTAACTTCTGATAATAATATGCTGAGAATATGACACTGAAAAATTATTAATACTTTTTTTTTCCTACTAATAATTATTTTATTTCTCACTTAGACTAACAGCTGGCCCAAAGGGCATAATAAATGTCAGCAGAAGACTTAATCTTACGTCCAAAAAAGTCAATGAAATTCCTATTTTGACTTTTATTAACTTGTTATGAGAGAAATTTAAAAACTAAGCAAAAATACAACTATTTGTTATTTATCCAATATGAAGTCTTGCTTTTCTTCCATAAAAGGTTCTTTATGCCAAAATTTTATTATTAACTTTTTAGGAAGCAGAATGAGATAAAGAAAAGACCACAAAGAAGCAGGAAGTCCTGGTATTTATTTTGCAGTGGTCTGAGAATAAAGCTTCACAAGGTTATAACCCTGTCAGCTCAACCCAAATTATAGAAGGCAGCTGCCACAGGGCCATGGGAACTAAAAACTCTCACAAACAAAGTAGAAAGATTCACATAAAAATGACAGCAACCACTAAATCATAGGAAAATAATCTCTTCATTTATCCATCTCAGAAAGAGAATCTACACTTAGATTCTATTATTCAAATCAACTGGATGTATTGAAAAGAAGGAAAGAACTAAGTAGGTTTAACTGAGAGGCAGGTTCCACTGCACAGGTATTTCTGCCTTATCCAATCTAATGTTTCAGAAAACAACATACATCCACATCTACATGTGACTAAGATTAACAATTATGCAGGAATAAAAAAATTTAGGCTTAAAGTCAAAAGGCCTGGACCCGAGTCCCCGTTTCATTACTGTTGCTTTACCAAGGGTCCTTAACCAGGTCACCTGGATCTCTAAGCATCAGTTTCCATATCATATGACAGTACCAGTGATACAGTGACAAGAACAGACAGCGATACCAGTGTACAGTGATTATAATAAATGGCACAGCTGACATCCATTGAGTACTCACCATGTCCTGGGTACTGTTTTAAGTTCCTTACAAGTATTAATTCACTGTTCTTCACAACAATCCTATACAGTAGGAACCATTATCATTCCCATTTTATAGAGGAAGAAATCGAGCCACAGAGAAGCTATATTGTTTACCCAATGTCACCCAGCTAGTAAGAAGCAGAGCTGGGATTCTAAACCATCTGATTGCAAGCCCACACACACAATTACAAGATATATAGTACATAAAAATATTGACTATACTCCATTTTAATTTTTGTCATGGAGAGTGGAATTACTCTAAGTTAAAGTTATCTGGGATATATCACTTCTGTATTATGCATAATTGTTCTAAATTATGTGGATGTTATTTACCGTCTGATTTATTTGTGTCTATCATTCTTTTACTAAAATTCATTAAACCAGTAGTTAATAGAACTGTTTGGTCTCTGCATTTTGTATCCCAAATTTTAAGATAAAGAAGATATGAAAATTTATTTTGCATAATCAAAAATAATTCCATTATTTTTCCATTGTCCCCTCCAAAAAGTATTTTTCTCTAAAATCCTCTTCATAATTAAGGAAAGATGATTTAACAGATCCCCTTATAGCAGCAGAACTACTTACTATGTGTCTTCCCTTTCTAATGTGCCAAAGGAATTCCTATCCTTTGTCAAAGAGTAACGATTACATTACTTCCCTAAGAAAATTCTTGGCATCTCTCTCAGGGATATTACATGTAATGACCAAGACTGAAGACTTAAAATTACAAAACATAATCTTTCCCTCACCTGGATAATACAATCAGTTCAAGCAAAGAACTGAGCACAAGAATAAAAAGAAAATCATATCACATGCCAAAAGACAAAGAACCAAAATTTTTGTTAGCATAGAAATTCCAAGCTGAAAAATGACAAACTTTGGCACTAATAGAGGGCAAATACTTAACCTATAAACGTATTTACATAGGAACTATATTATCTGATACATAACTGAAAGAACAGAATAAAGTCTTTCAAACACCATTCTTACTCTCCATCTATGAGAAACGTTTCCCTATTCTTTTATAGTTCCTCAGTTGGTACTAACAGTGGTAGCCACAGCAGTTATTTATGGTCTGTTCTGATAGGTCAGTGCCCAAATCATACCAGTACTTAAATATTGTGGCCATAGTCCCTCCTTTTTATTCTCCTTTTTTTTAAAAAAAAAAATCCTATTCAAGTTTGTTAAAATTTATTTTCTAGTTCACTTGTACAAAAAAAATTGGCATTATACTACATTAAATCACATTAACATGAGAAAGAAGATATAAGAACTTGGTTAGGAAGTTTATCCTCTTTCTTATTCCCAAACTCTCTCAGAGTACACAATAAAAATTATTCAAATGCCTATGATCAAATGCGTGTTCATATACCAACTACAAACATGGATAATCATGTTTCCATAATTTTGGAAAAAGCATTTTACGATCATGTCTATTTCTGTGATGTAAAAGAAATGAATAGTTCCCTATGGCAAAGATCCCGAATACTTACTCCATTTCCTGAACAAACAGTGCCTTCTTTACCACTTAAGCAAGTACTAAAGTTGAAGGAAGCCACAGGAAGACACCTGTGTTCCAAGCACATCATTTGAGGACCACAGGGTGTCCCATCCTCCACATAGCCAAGATCTACATCTTCTTCGAGCTTAACATGCCCACCACTAAAAATAAATGGGGAGCAAAAAGAAAATGGGGTTCTATTAATTCATTCATCTTGACAATATACTCAAAAACTGGTGATATTGCTTCTTTTATTTTCTACTTAATTTTTTTTAAATTGAGTGATATCATTTCTTCTATTTTCTACTTATTTAATAAAAGCAAGTAGCATGTCAATATCTAAAGGGAGAAAACAATTGAATCTTTTAATTTTTCAGGTACATTTATATAGCTTAGGATTTAAACATACCAGCCTGAATTGAAACAGTTTTACTATTTTGCCTTGGTTATTATGTAAAACCAATAAGTTCATTATTACTAGATTTGAAATAATAAATCGGTTTCATGATATAGTAATGCCAAGAATAAACCATTTCTTTGCCTGTGCTACTTTTTATTTTTCCTTAGATTGATGTTTTTCATTTGTTTGATGTTTCTTTGCCTACTTTTCTAAGAATTTACCATCAATTAACTCAAAACTAATCCAATGTCTCTAGGCCAAAGTCTCCACAGAAGATGTACCTGACCTTTTCTGTAGAAATCTCCCCTTGAGTTTCTGACCTGCTCCTATCTGTTTTGATTGTCCCCATGTACCTGGCATAGAGCTATAAATCCAGGATTCCCCAAACTATCAATTTGAGGATCTCCATATCTCTCTCTCCCTCCCTTCCAACCCCCGTCTCCCCCTGTTTCCTATACCTACTACCTTACTCCTGTGTTTTGGTGGAGCGCCATTTCCACTAGCTTTCTGAGAAAGAGTATTGAATGGTACACTTTGGAAAAATTTCCAAATCTAAAAACGTCTTTATTTTCTACTCTCACACCAGATTTGACATTTTGTTATAAAATTCCAATTTGCAAATAATTTTCTCCATTGTCTTCTGACTCTCAGGGTTCCTGTTGATAAAACTCTTAAGCCATTTTAAGTCGTAAGCCTTCAAGATTTCCTCCTTTGTGGAAACTTCTGGTTTTCTCTGCTTTATTCCAAGGTTCTAAAATTTCATAAGGATATGTTTAGATGTGCCTCTAATTACACCCACTGTACATGATACCCAGTGAGGCTGTTAAAATGGAAATTTAAGTCCTTCAGTTCTAGAGTTACACATTGACAATTTCCTTCCTTCTGTGCTCTTTATTATTTCTATTTTAATTTTATGGGTTTTCCTCTATGCTCTCTTTTTTGCCTTTTTTGAATACTATTAGGGAGATAATATCAATTACTGAGTTTCACTTCCACCATTTTTATATTTTAATTTCCAACAGCATTTTTTCTTCTCTGAATATTTCCCCACGTTTTTTTTTAAAAGGTAATACCCTATTTCCTTGTTTAATAATAGAAATCTTGTTTCTTTCATAAATATTAAGAAGTAATTTTCTTTTTCCCCCAATTTTTACATGTTGATAACTTTCTTCCTATGTCTCATAGTCTGCTCATGTCTGAATTGGAGAACCAAATAGATTATTGGAAATTTAGGGCATTCTGACTGAGCATCACTGAGATTAGACCACTTCCACACAACCTTGATATCAATATTCCCAGTTAGAAACCTTGTCTCTTATTCTCTGTAAGTACAAAGCCCAAATCAACTCTTAGCTGAGTTGAAGAAATAATCAGTATATCTATTTCACATACATTCATTCATCTATCTTATTTCACCCCTTTCTTCCAAATTCCTTTTCTCCCTCTTCCAAAGGTGGATGTTACTACCAATTTCTAAGTCTTCTGGGAAGTGACACTATATCTTTGATTGGGTCTCAATTTTCTCCATTATTGAGAAACTCATTTTTCTTAGCTCCTGTAAGTTGTCTGCCATACAGCTATTTGCTTTACTTGTTCCAAAATTGCATTGTTGCCTTCTTTTTCTCTGCCTTCTAGTGGACATTAAGCTCTAAAAAAAAAAAAAAAAAAAAAAAAAAAAAAAAAGACCCACATAGAGTCCTTTTAGCAGGAATTCAGAAGGGAGCGAAAGCATTTGGATATATTTAACAAGCTGATTTTACCCAGAAGTCATGATTCACTTTCCTTCATAGAAAGAAATGCAAGCTAAACCCTGCTTTATTTTACTGACCAACTAAACACATTCCTAGCAACCACATAATATTCTACATTCAACTAATTCTTATCTTCCCTTTATCTCTTTTCTGTTTGAATTTACTCAATCACCTTCATGGATTAGACTCTATTTGGCTTTACTAACAGGCATGTGTACTGAAAACATACACCTAAGCTTCATTCCTAGGAGGTAAGATGACTAATGTTCTCACGGAGTGGTTAGTTACCTGCAGTTTAATGTTCTTCCCTGTTGCACAACCAAAGTGGATGTGATTTCACCATCGAGTTCTCCAAGCCTTGGGATATTACCAATGTTGGTACACAAAAGGTAACCACAAAGCACATCCCTGTGTTGAGAGAGTACCAATTATTTACTTTACTTCTTTCCCCAAAGATATAACAAACCTTGCACAGTTGGAATGATAATCTTGTCTTATTTTAGGATTTGTTTTCCATCAACAATATTGCTTACTCCTATGCCAAGCAAAATAAAATAAGCCCAAATTAGTTTCCCTCCTGCTTTAAAAAGTGTCTTCTCTGAAATTCTTGTTGGTGAATCAAAATTCCAATTGTTTCTTTTTCTGCTCTTTGGTTCAAGTGTTTATCTATGGAAAATTATCTATCAAATAGACTTCTTTTACATCAGAATCTCTTTGCTTGTAACACATCATTGCATATAATAAACTATTTTTTTAGTATTTATAAGTTAAGAAATAACCTTAGGACAAGTATATTTTAGAATATACACATTTCTGCCACCTAACTCCCAGAATCAAAGAAGTAGTTAAATATTTTACATGTAGTTTATAGATTTTCAGCCACAAAGGCTCATCAGTGCATCTTTAAAATATTTCAGAGGCTGAGGCAGGAGGATTGCATGTTTGAGGCCAGCCTTGGCAAGTTAGTGAGGCCCTGTCACAAAATGAAAACAAAATAAAAAGGACTGGGAATGTTCAGTGGTAGAGTGTCCCTGGATTCAATTCTAACTATTGGAGGAAATAAATTAATTAATTAAATGAAATATTTCAGTAGTTCTCCTATTATCACATACAATTATAATTTAACTTATATGATATTTTCACTGGTATTAAATACTATGATATATATTCTTTACATCTAACACATTTTAGCTATTGGTAGAGAAAATAATAAAATATATTTTAGTAAATATCTGTGAAGATTTATTAGCAGTCAAGCCAGACTATACATGGAAATATCAGACTTCATCAGATAGATAAAAATTAAGATCCATATTTATTACAATGTTTTAATTCAGTCTTTGAAAAATAACTTTTAAAATTACATCATCATTTTACTCTTGCTATCATAAACAGTTCTTTTCAACACAGAAGAGATTATCATTTGATATTTTGCTGAGTTGCATTTATAAGTATTAACTTTTCTGAGTAATTTAAAATATATAAGGAAAATTGGATGTAATCTTTATTCTTAAGGAAGTCATACACTGGATGAGAAGTTAAGTCACATACATAAACAACTATAAAACATGGAATTGGGGGGAAAAAGGCCATAAAAATAGCACAGAGGCCTGACAAAGTTCAGAGGACAAGAGGGAGATGATTTATTTCTAGAGGAAAAAATTAGGAAGAAAGTATTTTCCAACTGGGCATTGAGGATGGATGAACTTTTTATTGGTGATGGTATGTGTGGACACAGTGCTTCTGAGGAGCTGGGTGTGGTGGTGCACACCTGTAATCTCTGTGACTCAGGAGGTTGAGGCAGGAGGATTTGCAAGTTTAAGGACAGCCTAGGCAACTTAATAAGACCCTATCTCAAACACAAAAATAAATTAAAAGAAAAAGAAAAAAAAAAAAAGACTGTTTCTGAGGAATTGGTAGCACAAACATGGGTATGAAGGTAGGATAATGTAATGTATCTATTACAAACAGTAAGGTTTTCTAGATTTTGAAGGAGTAAAACAGACCAAAAAAATGTAGTTTGGGACAAAAAATGGAGGAGACACAGATCCAAACTAAGGTTCCATTGTATTCGTTAATTAAGATGGCATAATATTCAGCAAAATAGTTAAGACAGTTCTCAAGTAAAACTGCCTGAATTCTAATTCTGTTCCTACTACATCCTGCCTACATGACCTTGGGCAACTTAATTGACTGTCTCAGTTTCCTCATCCATAAAATAAGAGAACTGCCACAAAGATTAAGTGCCATAGTTTATGCAAAGTGTGATACAGTGCTTAGCACATAGTGTGTGCTCAGTAAATATTGGGTCCTATTCTTACTACTTATTAATATTAACTATGTGGAACTAGTAAAATTGGAACAAAAAATTGACATAATCAAAAGGATTCCAAAAAAGATTATTCTGATGGAACTATGCAAGAGACTGCTGGCATAGAAAAACTATTAGAAAATTTTGGGACAGCTGAGGATTGATCTAGGTCTTAATTGGGGTAATGGCAATAGAAATAGAAAAGAAGGGATGAATTAAACACAAAGGTAGAGGAGCAAAAGGGACGAATAGTCATGATTTGGTGTTTGGACAATGTACAGAGGAAAAGCAGAGTCACGGATCCCTCCAGGCTTCTACACAAAGGACACTGAGACTTGTGACCTTTGGAAAAACCAGAATGGAAGATTAGAACTAGCTAATTGCTGAACAGAATTTTGTATCTATTCTGGCAGCTTTAATTGTTGCTGCTTGTGAGATGCTGGGAGGTGCCCTCCAAATGAGAAGGTTCTACAGGAGCAGCAAGAATGACCTCGGCCTTGGGAGAGAGGTCAGGGTACATGCCAAGATGTGGAAGCCCTTAGGATGCAGGAACCCTGGGAAGAGTTGAAGGGAGTAGGCAAGAGCATTCTTTGTGGGATGAAGAAAATTGGAACATCCTCAAAAACATGTGCTCAAAATTGACTGAGGGGTGAACTCTGGGCTAATGTGTCCACCTCACCTTTTGTTGCACTGTATCCATGTGTCTTTGTCTTTCCCACAGTTTCCCTTCTCAGTCCCCTCGATGTTCAGTTTCTCATAGCAGTATTTGTCTGATGCTGTCACCTCTGAAGCAGAACAGAATTTTCTATGAGTGAGGGAGGCAACATGTGAGTTGTTCAAAATGTTTGCAGTGAAGGAAAACTGAAAGTTAAAGAGTCTTCAGTGTTGTCAACACCATAATAAAAAACTGTACCCAGGGTCTACAAGAATTCACCTATATCAGACATCCTTGGTTCAGGTGCGTTTTTCACGAATGCTCATTTGAAATTTGGGAAACAAATATACTTAGATATCTAATGGGATTTAGGCTTTAGACTGCAAGAACACTCTTTAGGATAGGGCTAATAATTACAGGACAACGCTACCAAATGTTTGCTTGAATAAATTCTTGATACTGTAATCTCCTTGCCAAATATAATGCATGAATTTCTCACTCAGAAAACTATTAATCAAAAAGTCAATTTTATTAAAAGTTATGCACTATAATTAGATTCAAGAAATAGCAGTCCAATTTCTACTATGCTTACTCATCATTAACAGTCATCAGAAAAAAAATCTCAGTTTACTGCTTTTAGGTGAGACTGAATTCATATAAAATCTGAGAGTCAAATATCATTTTAAAGTATGTCAGCATTTTTTGTCAGGTTTTTAATCTTTTCTAAAGCAAGGGTGAGTTGATGATGTTATCTGAATTAGAGAAAAATGACTTGAAAACTTAAAGACAACTCATTGGTACAAGTTGAGCATCCCTAATCCAAAAATCTAAAATGCTAAGCAAGTGGTCTAGCACTGGGCTACATCCCAAACTGCCCTAGGTTCTTAATCTTTTTGAGTGCCAACATGATACAACAAGTGGAAAAGTTCACCCTGATCTCTATCACAAGTCATAGTAATACAAGCATATGTCAAACACATACTATATAATACTACAAAGGCACATAATAGATAAAATTACCTTCAGGTTATATGCAGAAGGTGCATATGAAACATAAATGAATTTTGTGTTTAGACTTGGGTCTCATTCCCTAGATATTTCACTATCTACATGCAAATATTACTAAACCAGAAAAACATTTGAAATCTGAAACACTTCTGGTAACAAGAATTTCAGATAAGGGATACTCAACTTTATATATTAAACAACAAATAATTATGTAGGTAGTTTCTTTTCCTACTTTTCATTGTCAGCTACTATTTTTGCTGAAGTGAAGGAAACAAAGTATATCTCTTTGCTTAGAGTGTAAACTTGCATGACAAAATTTCTTCCCATCTCAGTGTTTCAGTAACTTGAAAGAGCATATACTTCCCCTCTTAATAGGACTGTATCGACTACCTATTACATCTAACAATGCTCATTATTTTTATGGCTTTTTTTTTCCGGATGCAAATTACCTTCTGAAAGAGTTTACAACAAAAATTGTTTCCAAAAGTATGAGTCAGTAACACTTCTAGAAAAAGTATATATACAACATTTAAATATAAATTTAATTACAGTATAACTTAAATAATATAAAAATATAATTGTTATATATTTTCCTCTGAAACTGACAAATATTGAAGATATTAATGATAAAATGTCTTTCTGATACATAAGAGCAACCTCAGCAGAAGGTCACCTGTAACTAGGAAAGCCAGCTAGAGCTTAAGAAAGATAATTGAGGAAGAAGAAGAAACTCTAGCCAAAATGTTTAGTGCTTTCATTTTAAAAATCACATCTGATAATACATCTGGTCCCTTGAAGCCAACTGTATGTAAAAACAGAAGAATAAGAGAATGTGAGAGGAAATACAACCACGGGTGCACTTTCCCCAAGGTTCTAAGTCAAGGATGGCCTATCCAGGATCCATGGCCATCCCATATGGTTATACAAGTTTTGTTAGGGCACTCCACTGAGGAGCTGAAATCAAGGTCTGTTCTATTCTCCAAGCTGTGTGCCCTGGCATCGATTCGCCTGCCTGGCAGCAAAAGCACCTTCTGTCTCTGTCTCGTCCACAGGCGCTGCCAGCTAGCCAGGAAGTGTGCATTCATGTCTTCTCAAAGGAGGTGTCTTTCTCTAATTTCCAGAAAAGTGCCCACACTAACACCTGTCATAGCTTTGAATGTCCCCCAGTCATAAAGTAAAAAAATTTGCTTTCAATCCACATGTCCCTATAAAGTCTTCCTGATATCCTACTTTGAAAATGATCAACCCTTATGATTATTATGCACCAATAAAAATATTTTTGAAATAATTATCAAGCCACACTGATTACTTACTTTGTCCCCAGATATATTTGCATTGTCTATCCCTGGTTTTACATCGTCCTCCAAAGCAAATTCCCTAAAATGGAAAAGCAAATACCCATTAGCAATGCAATGTCTGTTTATGTCAGAAAACTGACAGAAAAGGAAATATGACTGGGAAAAACAGCAGATAGGTATTATAAAGCCCTTTTATCTTCAGAATTGATTATGAAACTTTTTAAATGATATTCCTATTTTGACATTATCTCAGTATTTCTTTCATGTTGGTGCCACATGAAAAATTTAGATAAAAGTGAAAATGGCCTACCTGAGTACCATCACATGAATATCCATCCATTTTATGAATATTAGGGGCACACTAGGAAAAGAGAACAAACTATGAACCAAACACAGAGCAAAATATCAGGCTGAGCTAATCAGTTTAGTGTTTACATTTTAAAAATCACATTTGATGATACATTTGGTCCCTTGAAATATCTATATATAAAAACAGAAGAACAAGAGAATGCAAGAGGAAATACAACAACTGGTACACTTTCTCCTAAAAACGGGATTCTATGACAGGCAAATACAGTTGATTACACAGAAGCAAGTAGAAAGAACTGACTGCAGTAAGCTCAGTAAATGACATATTAAGAGATGTTTCATACAGATCACTATTCCTCTGAGCAAGAAAAGAAAGAACACAAAGCAAAAAGTAGCCCAACTTGTTTCCCTTCTTCTGCCATGAGAAGCAATGCAGACCCTTCACTTCAGGCAATAACTTTCAACTAGAAGCCTGCTTCTAGAATTAACGCTAGAAAAGACATGGCTTATATATTATATTTAATACTTAAATTAATAAAAATAATATTAAATTATTTTACAATTAATTCATTATATTTTCTTGAAGCAACTAGAAAATTATAGAGCATTTTGTCAGGCTATAAACAAACAGTAATTTTAAAATGTATTACTACAATGATAGAAAAATGTCTAATTATGTAGTCATTTGGGAAAAAATTGGAAAATGTGAAAAAAAGGAGGAAAAAAAAGAGAGGTCCATCACATTCCACCATTCAAAATTGCTATTTTTTATATTTTAGTATAATTTATCTCTACCTTTTTCTATAAAAATTGATTTTTAAACATAAGTATGGTCAAATTATAGATAATAATTTTTTAATGTTTTTTTTAGTTGTAGATGGACACGGTAGCTTTATTTATTTTTTGTGGTGCTGAAGATCAAACCCAGTGCCTCACAGGTGCCAGGCAGATGCTCTACCACTGAGCCATAATCCCAGCTCAAATTATAGATAATATTTTATATTTTGCTTCTTTGCTTTATTTTGTCATATAAACTTCCTGTCAAGGTGAACTTTTTATAGCTATCATCTTTAATAAATATAATGCATTGCTTTAAGCTAACAATGTACTACAATGATCACTTATAGTTATATCCAATTAATTTTGACAGTTAAAACTAATGCAAAAGAGCATTTTGTACAGACATCATTTTTAGACTTTTGATTCTTTTAAAATTTATGCTTTTTATTTAATCACTATATATATATATATATATATATATATATATATATATATATATATATATATATACACACACACACACACACATGCCATACAGGTAATTATTTATTCATTGAGTCATCATCATCATTAAGTATTAACTTAGAAAATCCCACTGATTAGAAAGAATGGAACAATACTTCTATATAGAGATCTTTAATCTCTTTGTATGATTCCTTTAAAATAAATCATTTTTAATGGTTAATGTAAGTTTACCACTATTGATATCTTCTTATCTGGAGAAAAAATAAATGTGGGCAGTCTTGACTCAACTATACATGAATTTCAGTTTCTCTGCTTTTGTCCCCCAATCAACCTCCCACACAACATGGTTTCAATTTCAGTTATCACACCATATTCATGTGAGTAATTGCATAAAATACAAACTTTGCTATTAGCTCTTCAGTCAGCTGGTCACTGTGCAAATAACAGATATCCTTCATGACCAGTGACCCATCCTGTCTTTTCTTTTAAATTCCTATCAGTGATTGTCACCAACCATCTGCTTATTCAATTCACAGACAGCAAAGTGTGTAGTTGTGCTGTCTCTTTGACTTCTAGTAATATTATGTGGTATTTGATAAAATGGATCATCAAAAGAGGGAATTGGCCAACAAAGATGAAAATGTAGCCAAGAAATGAAAGCGATGACACCAGAAGTGAAATTCAAATTGAATGCAAATGGAATTACAGGAAAAAATAAAAAAACAGCTAACTGCGGGGATGACTATTGCTCAGGAGATTCTAGATATGTAGCCTGAGAAACCTAGTGAAGGGACTCACTGGCATAAATGAAGTGGGCATGACCTAACAGGTGAAGATGTGTCAGAGGAAGCGACGCTGACAAGACACTCAATATGTATGGCTTCACATCCCTCAAGAGATATTTAATGACATTAAAAGCATAGAGGGTAAGACATTGAAAGCAGATTCAAACTTAGAAAGCAGTATGACAAGGTACAGAATAATGCTTATTCTGTATCGTAAAATTTGCAAGGAGCAGCAGCAGGCACAGTTCAAACTACACCTCAAGTTTTGTATAAAGAAATATAATACTTTAACTCTCAATGTTTCTGTTTTAATTTACAGTATGCTATATAATATTTTTAATTTCCCTGTGCATTTAACACTAACAGTAAGAGAGTTTTGACAGAATCTTTTCAAGACGACAGAACAATTGTATTTTCCATTGATCCTTACGACTGTGTTGCATGGTTTCAACTTGCAGGGTCATTTTTACAGTTCAGCACAGTTGTGCAAAGTGAGAACTGATCATTTTAAAATCTGTGAACCTGCATCACAGATTGCAATTTCCCCAGCATGTTTATCTACGAATAAACACTATTAAATTTAAGGAGAACTGTTAATGTTGGAGGTGATGTATTATATCAGAAATGTAAGAGACAAGAGAGAGAAAAGGGTCCCCTCTCAGAACCCATGCTCTAGGGATCTCTGCCTCAGCTGGCTCCTGTTTCAGTCAGCTGAAGAGAGGGCCTTTTGTTTCCTTTCCTAGAAAGATAAAAAGAAAATGCCATTCACTCCCTACTTAATATAAAAAACAAAATACTTAAGGCAACATATAGTCTTAGGGGAATTCAATATTAAAACAAAATTATGCTGAACGTCTGCTCAAGCTTTGATTACTAAAACTAAAATTTCTAAAAAATTAAAAAGAAAGTGAGAGATAATATGAAAGAAACATGCATTTTGTCCATCCACATTTCTCCTAAGGGTCAAGTGCACTAAAGATAACCCCTACTTTTTCCACTGTGGTTTAGAGTAATTATTTTGCAGATTACCTGGCTTGAATTTCCTGAGCATGTTTCAGAAATATCACAATCGTTCACTGCTTCTCGGCACACGGTCCCCATAGGCTGAAACTAAAATGAACAAAAATCGATGTGAAAGACTAGAAGGAACAAAAGCTCTCACAGTCTCATCTTAAAAAAGCAAAATGAAAAATGTTTGGATAGGAATACCTTTGGCTATTTTAAAATCATAGTGTGGGAAAATTGCAGTTATTGAACAAAATGCTTTTTTAATAGTTTTAAGTAACAGTTTCTTGTATATGAAGTAACTTCCATATTCATCACACGTAAGTCTCATAATATCTTGCTAAAATGCTAAAATTGGACAAGGCTTGATGGTACATCTCCACAAGAATGCTTGGCTTGTCCAAGCTCTTGTAATCTTTCTTGCAAGGAGGTTTTAAGCTTTTTAGGCTTTATCCTTCTTTCTTATTCACACCTTTATCACATAACTTTTTATTTTTTTGGTCTCTCTTATCTGCCAAGATTGGAAAAGCTACATTTGGGGCTGAGTCACAAAAGTTAGGTTTTCTGGCAAAGCCATATCCTCCCAAGCTTTCTCTTCCCTTCTTTTCTGGTGCCTCATTATGCAAAGATTTAAATTTCGGTTATTTACTTGTTATTAATGTTCCTATTATTGGTGCCTATGAATTGGAGTCTGGAGTTCTAGGGTTTATCGGTTGGTTGGTTTTTTTTTTGTTTGTTTGTTTGTTTTTATTTGTTTCTTTTCAACGAGTGGAAATACTTCTTGGAAGTATGCATTTGAACAAATAAATTTTTAACCCCATTGGATTTACAAAGTGCAGGAATACTCATGGTAACAAAATCGAGCAGAGATAAATAAAGCTATACTTCTCCTTTCCTGTGCAATGCCTCTCTTTTCCCTCTCTAAAACTCTGACATTTAGGGCTGGATTCTTCTGTGCTTTTCTCTTTATTTGTTCAAACATACTTATTATCAGGCTTCCCTGACTTCTGTGCAAACCACACTTTCTTCTCCCATTCAGAACCCTCCTGGCACTTGAGTCTCCTCTGCTTCTAGATCATGTGCAGCCCACCAGCTCCAATCAGGATTTTAAAAGATAGTTTTAGATGACTCAAACAAAATTTGTGCTCATTCAACAAGGATTTACTAAGCACTTAGGATGTGCCAGGCACTGTTCTCGTTGCTGGAGACCCGGTGGAATATAAAACACAAAAACTCTGCTCACAAAAACCCCGCATTTTAATGGGGGTAAATGGGCCATAAAAATAAGGAAATGGCAAAGTAATTTAATTTTACATGTCTGATTCTCTTCTTTCTCAAAATTGGGGCAAGCCAATTAGAATATAAAGCAGAAATATGTACATATTTGAAGTACAGTTTAGATGAAACTATAAACATTCAAGAATTTCCAAGAAACTTTAGAAAAAAAAAAGCACAGTAAAGGAAGATTTGCTCTAAGTGCTGGGATACAGCAGTAAATAAATCAACCAAAATTCCTGCTGTACTAGAGCTAGAGCTTATAATGGGAGGGGGGAAATAATAACCAAGTAAGCAAGATATATCTTACTGCAGAGGTCCACAAATTATGGCCTGAAGGCCAAATTGGCTGACTACCTAACCTTACAAATAAGTATTACTGGAATTACAGCCACACACATTGTTTCTGCATTTTCAATGGCTGCTTTCAAAGACAGAGCTGAGTAATTGTGATGCTTTAGGAAAACCTATTTATTATATAGTCCTTTATAGGAAATGTTTGCCAACCCTCGGCTTATACATTATTTATATATGTTATGTACATTATAATACACACACACATATATATAATATATATATATATATTATATATATATATATAGAGAGAAGATACATACAACTTCTCATCTTGATCCTCTCTTCCCCCTCCTCCATTTACTATCCTGCCTCCGGATCCCCAGGGTAGGGTGAAGGGAGTTTTGGTGTAGAGAAAGTGGCAAGAATGATTTCACTCGACTGGTATACTATATTGTAGTACAGTAATTAATTCTGTCATTATATTTTAGGTATGTTATTATTCTATACTTGTTCCTTGTAATGATTCTATCACAAAGAGCCTAATTCTGTATGCCAAAGGGGGAAAAAAGGTACAATTACACGTATTTAACAGATGGGCAGACATTTATTTAATCAAAGATTAAAATAAATGATTCAGGATCCCTTGTTATAGCAGTTGGAGGAGCTGACAGAGCAAGCAATTGTGGTCGCCAAAATGAAAGAATGTCTGTTTCACATTTGGTTGAATCTTCCTTTTTTAGAGATTGCTTTCAGAGATCTCTGCCAGTGCCGTGCTTGTCTTAAAAAGCTGCCAGAAGACACAGCAGTGCAGTGGAAACAACAGAAACTGCTGCCAGCAGATCTGGGATGGAAGGGCTGCCAGCAGATCTGGATGTGACTGCATATCCCTTCCTTACAAGCTGAGTGGCCCCTGCAGGTGACTTAAATTTCTTGGAACTTGGATTGCTCGATTATAAAGATCAGGATAATAATGCCTATCCCCAAAGTGTGCTTGTGTGCATTCTCTAAGACAGTGGTCTCAACCAGGGGTGATTATGTCCCCAAGGGTATATTTGGCAATGTCTGGAGACATTCTTAGTTGTCATTCTTGGGAAGATTGCTTCTCACATCTAATGGGTAAAACCTCAGGATGCTGCTAAACATCCTGCAATGCACAAGACACACTCTCACAACAAAGATTTATCCAGCCAAGGATGTCAATGATACCAGAGTAGAGAAATTCAGATGTAGGGTGATAATAAATTCAAAGTACTTAACACAATCTCTGGCACACAGCGGAGACTTACTGTGATAGCTTTATATCTCACCTTCCTTTAACTCATTAAAGATATTCAGTCTGTAAATAATCACAAAGAGAGTGCTGTGCCTATTTATTTATTTGTTCAACAAATATTTATTAAGAACCTATAACAACAATGGTGTAAATTCTTGGCTCTGCTCCAAAAAAAAAATGTACAAACTGGAGACAGATATTAAACCTTAGACATAATACAGAATATTATATCAGATATCATATGAGATAAGAAAAGAGAATTTCATTTCTTTGGGAAAAGTAAGTTCCAAATTGTGGGTCTTGATGTAAAGAATTAAATACTTAGAGACAGGGATGAGAATGGTATTGGGAAGACGAACTCAGACAAAGTGTATAAAAATGCATTCTCAATTTCCATGTACAGTAAACTATGTAAGGTACTATCATGCCTGAAGTATTCCTTTCACTCCCTCAACAGCTAACGCAAGAGATATAGCTGGGCACAGTAACACACATCTATAATCCCAGCTACTCAGGAGGATGAGGCAGCAGATCATGATTAAGGACAGCCTAGGCAACTTAGGGAATTCCTGTCTCAAATAAAAAACAAAAAGGGTATAGCTCAGTGGTACAGCACCACTGGGTTTAATCCTCAGTGCTCCCCATAAAAACATGAGAAGGAGGAGGAAGAAGAACAGGAAAAGGAATAATATAAAGGAGAGGAGGAAGAGGGAAAGAAGTAGGAGTGGAGAAGGAAGAAAATAAGAGGAGGGAGGAAGAGTGTGAAAAGGAGGAGGAGGAGGAGGAGGAGGAAAGATATATCTGAGTGAGAAGAAAAGGAGGATCTCTTGAATCCCTACTTGGCTTCCCAAAGAAATGTAGGCATATTCAAAGATAAGTAACACCTACTTTCATTTACTGTCCCTGCTCCTCAGGGAGGTTGTAGAGAGAACAGCCTTGGGAGGAGCATGTTCAGCAAGAACCCTGACTTACTTGGTGTCAGACCTTGGGAAAACTACCATCAAAAGGGAAAGATGTTAACTATATCTCACAAGATTCTACGAGGGTCCTGTAAGCATCTGGCATTCAGTCATTAACTATGTATTAGATACTGTGATTATTAGGTGCGATTTACCCAACCTTAGCAATTGATCACATGTGTCCTTCCTTCTGTCCATTCGTCATTAAGCAGCATTCATTACCTTGCACTTTTTACAACAGAGACCATCACTGCATTGAGAGTCCTGAGTCAAGGTGCATTTCTTACAACACTCTGCTCCTTCAAGGACACATTCCTAAGGAACATAAACATTTGCCAAACATCAGAAAACAACATCATTTCCTAAAAAGTAGCAGCATGTTTCCTAAAATAAATGTAAAAACTCACAATAATCTCTCATCCACAAATACTATAAAATTTCTAAGCATAATACTTGCTCTGTTTTGTCTCAATGTGTGTGGACCAGGAACAACCCTGAGTCACCTGTAAACCATCTTCAAAAGCACCACAGACTTACTGTAGGGGTTCCACAGTCACACTCTTCTCCAGTTTCAATGAAGCCATTGCCACACTCAGGAGGGTCGAGCAGCTATGGAAGGAAAACAAAAAAGGGAACTAAAACATAGAAAAGTCAACAGCAAAGACTTTGAGAGACCTGAGCACTACACCCACACCTCTGCATACCTGCCAGTCATCCCCAATACATATTTATTTAGCTAAACTAGAAAGCATGGTTTTTTACAACTTATAAGTGTCTCCTTCTGTTTCCATTTCATATTTAATATGTGTATATACTTTACAAATATTTATATAACATATACACCAAATAGCATCTGGTAAAAGTCACAAAATAAAAGATGATCTAGTCATTGACTAAAACTAAGACTGACTGACACCTGAAATTCCATTGCAGTCAGGAAGTAAGGGGTTTGGAGTCAGAACATCTGTCATATTGGCACATGGCTGGAGAATAGCTCAGTGGTAGCACATAATGCCTGGCACGAATCAGGCCCTGGGTTCAGTCCCCAGGATCAAAATAAAATGAAATAAAAGCTTGGAACAACTACTTAACATCTCAGAGACTTTACTATGTTAAACAGGAATAATAATATTTGTGGGGAGCCACTCTGAATGATTCATATCTTCCATCCTGGAGCGGAGATGCTTTGACCGTCACTACATCTTGTAGTGACCTGGACATTGCCCCAGTCCCAGAAGTTGAGGGCACATCTACAGAGGTAGGCGTGTCACCCCATGGCCCCTTGGGTCCAATTACACTCACCTGTCCTTTGTAACCCTGCTCCTTCTGACCTTTTTTGGATAGAACTTTCTAAGAAAAAGGGTCTCCCCAATAAAAGCCCATTTCCATGTCACGCTCTCTCTGGCCAGCCTCTGGTGACTTTCTCTTGCTCTCCCATTTGGAGAGCCTGAAGCCGAGAGCGGAGAAACTGTCCTGAAGCTTGTTTAAAGGTAAAGTGTGTGTCTATGGTTTATTTGGTGTCCCTGGAAATTCACAGGAGCGACCTTAAGTTCACCTGCCTACGCAGGTTGGGGGCAGCAAATATTAACTGTTCATCAAATTAATCAGCTGTCCAAAAGTTTTCTGAGAATCAAGTTTAATCATCCGTGAAAAGCCCTTTATTAATCATCTTTTTTCTCCAAGTTACTTCATCAACAACAAGAAAAGTATCACAAAGTTAATATACCCACTGAACTATTCAATATAAAATATAACTCCTACTATTAGTATATAGCTTTGCGGAGAAAAGCAATAATAATTTGTCCCAGATATTAAAGCAACTTTTGGACTATCCAGGAGTACATTTTAGGTCAGTTTTATTTTTTAACTCTCTATCAATTACCTTTCAAATACAATTTATCCTATGGTGATAGGCTGTTAGAGTCCGTAAACAAGTCAGGATGGTGCCTGGCAAATGTTAGAGTCCGTAAACAAGTCTGGATGGCGCCTGGCATTTTGCCAGAGGGAGTGGTTTGTGAAGTAACGCCAGCGAGCCATTAAGTGTGGAGATTCCTTATTGGTTGACCGCTGTATCTATTTTATGTTAATTAAGATAAGCTGTGTGGAATGTATATATACCACTCCTGTCCTACAATAAACAGCTCCCACTCCTGCTATATCAATCTACACAAGTTACTCGTCACCCCCCGGTTATCTTGCCCAGCCAGCCGGGCTGCAGCAATAGGCAGTTGGTAATGACTAATTGATAATGACTAATTACTATTAGCTAGGAACATAATATTCATTCAAAAGTTAATTAAAGTTGCCAGGCACAGGGGCACTTGCCTGTAATCCCAGCAACTTGGAAGACGGAGGCAGGAGAATCACAAATTGAAGACCAGCCTTAGCAACTTAGGGAGACCCTGTCTCAAAATTTAAAAAAGGGTTTGGGGATATTGTTTGGTGGTAAAGTGTTTTCCTAGCATGCACAAGGCCCTGGATTCAATCCCCAGTACTGAAGAGAAAAAAGCAAAAAGGGCTGGGAATGTGGCTCAGTGGTAGAGTACCCCTGGATTCAATCCCATACCACAAAAAAAGAAAAAGTTAATCAAGGTGTTCAGACTATAAAATGGAAGTGTACACACAACTGTCAACACACACACACACACACACACACACACAACTAAATAGAATAAAAACTCAAAGCAAGATAAAGAAAACATAAAAAATGAACTCATTTCTGCTGTTATCATCAGAATAGGCCAAAATGCCCAATATTAAAGTTGATTTTGAAAATATAAACAGACATTTTAGCATATCTAGATACGTACATATAGGCCAAATTGAAAAGCTCTCTTTTATACACCTAAAGGCTAAACAATGGTGTGTATGAGCATGTAGGAAGATTAATCATTAACATCTCTGCTCACATTATTACCTTGGAAGGCTTGTTGAACAGGCAGGCGCCACCCCCACTGTTCAGGAAGTCATGATACTCTTCAATGTTACACTGGGTGAACTTTTTAGGAAGATAATAGCTGTGGAAGAGAAGAAAATCAATACTGGGATGCAATGTGAGCCTCCCTGGCTTGTTCATTAGTCTTAAAATTGAACATTATTAAAATTATACATTATTCTTTCAAGATGAAAGAATAAATTCCTCTTAGGTACAACATTTGTATTCAACCTACAAGAATTTTTATTCAACCAGTATATTTCTAAATTCTTCATTCAGTCACTAATGGTGACAAGATAGTAATGGTTCATTACTTGTATATGCAATCAAAGGAAACACATAAAGCAGCAACTATAATTTAGAAAAAAATATTTCATAGTCTTAAATAGTAAATCTGGGCTGGAATCCAAACAACAGAGAACTCTACAAAATAATTGACCTATAACTTATAAATGTGTCAGGTCATAAAAGTCAAAGACTGAGGAACTACTACAGACTGAAGGAAGCTAAAAAGACATAAAAATAAATGTGATGCCTCACTCTGAATCCTTTACTGTAAAAGACACTACTGATGTATAGGCCATTCTTGAATGAGGGCTAAGATTCAGATGGTTTTACTGGCTAGGTTGTAGGAGGATGTTCTTGTCATAGAAATGAAACCTATGTATCTGAGGGTAAGAGGGCACAGATTGGCAATTTATGATTCAAGGAACCAAAAGGATCTTTGTTATACATCTTGCAACTTTTTTCAAGTTTCAAATTGTTTTAAAAAATTCATGCCAGAATAAAAAGTAATAAAGGGCAAAGAGAAAAAAGAAACTTGGTCAGATACCTTCAAAATGAGTACAAATGCCCTTAGATCTAGTAATTCAGCTTTTCAGAAAATTTTCTTAAGAAATAACTAGCTATTACACAAGGATATATAAACACAGATATTTGTGGTAGCACATAACATAAAAATAACCCAAATATTTAATAGTAGGAGAATGATTAGCTGAACTGTGATATGTGGATAAAATAGAATAATATGAAATGAATTAATAATCATAGTAATAAAGAATTGTTAGACTCAGAAAAATGCTGACTATATAATGTTAAGTAAAAAAGGGTGAATAAACATCATATAACCAACAGGAACAAGATTTTATAAAACAACAATAAAAATGAAAAAAGAAGAATATGAGTTAAAATACACTAGTATTTTAATATCAACATGGTTATCATTGGAGAAAAAAATAAGAATTTTATTTTCTATATTTCTCTAAAACTGTTTTTCTTTGATCTTTATGAAAGTGAAAAAATACGATAATGATGAAAGATTTTTATAAAGTCTTTCCTGCTAGCCACAAAGACAGTGTCCATTTATAACCATACCTCTGTCTAGCACAGTGGTTAATGTTTCATAAATTATAATGGAATTTATAATGATTATTTAGGCTAAACTCATTTTTTTTTAAGTATTTCATGCCAAATTCTCCAAATAAAGCTGTCTTGGGTATAAGTTATCTAAACTATTCTGTTTCTGTCTATGCTTTTTTTCTAATAAGACACAGACTTTATTCTTAATTTTAAAAGTTTCTTTAATATATTATTCCTTTCTTCAATGCCTGCCTCGTTAAATTCTTATCACCTTCCCTACCAATCCATCCAACACATCCTGCCACAGTTATCAAATGTAAACAGGGCTCTCTCCAATTTTCCCTTTTCATTAAATTGGTCAAAACTTGAGAAAGTTCTCTACTACTGAAGTAAAAAAGTCCAACTTTTAGGACTCTTAGAAGTCAAAGTCTAGTTCTACCTCTGCCCTGCCAGGATGCCTACAGCTGCCACAGCTCAGCCCATTCTCCTCCACACTTCACAGTGGGGAGCTCAGTCATTACCCCATAACTGGGGAGTTAGAAAATCATTCCTTTACAGGGAAGCTCTTTATATATGGATACTTGAAGTGTATAAATTGCTCTTACCCTTTATTTTTGACACATCTGACTTCTTATAACTTTCACACATTCTTAACTGTACCAAATAGACATTAATTCCTCTACCATTATAATATAACCCTTCATGCATCTGAAGGCAAATATGTCTTTCCCCTGTCTCTGCCCTCAAACTTCTGTTTTACAAGATTGTATATCTATTATATTCAACCATTCTTAAAAATTTAGTTTTTATATCTTTAAATAGAAACTGATGGTTATTCATTTCAACTATGGTTTCCAATATTTAGCAATATAGAGGAACTTCAGACAGTGAAAACGAAAGGGATATACTCATGGGAACTATACATCCATAATTAGTAATGTTAGGTGATACTTGGCATAGATCAAATTTATAGAGTCATATCAGATAAAATTTTTTTATAAAAAGAATTTTTCTCTTGCTTCATCTACTTAATGTAGGAAGAATTCCAATTCAAAGAGCTATACATATCTGAAGGTAACCATTTGATTTTTTTTTTGGTGGGGGGGTAGGGGGCTGTACCAGGGATTGCACCCAGGGGCACTTAATCACTGAGCTGCATTCCCAGCCCTTTTTAATATTTTTTTTTAGAGACAGGTCTCGCTGAGTTGCTGAGGCTGACTTAGAACTCATGATCCTCCTGCCTCAGTCTCCTGAGCTGCAGGGATTACAGGCATGTGCCCCTGTGCCTAGCACCATTTGATTTGGCTTAGTACTATGCAGATTGTCTATAAAAGTTTTAATAATTAACCAGAACAATCAAATAAAAGATATTAAATAGCTTTTAAAGAACAGGAATCTCCACCATAACATTCAGTAATTGTTGGAAAATTATAACTGTACTACTTCTTCTCATTATTAAATAAATGTCCAAAGAAAATTTAAAATTTTTTTAAATGCATGTTTGCATACACATTCCCTCCATCATTTATTTGCCTTGTCCTGATAATTCAAAATTCAAATTTAATCAGTAAATATTTTTTAAAATCAAGTTTGTACAAAGGATTATGGTGTACGGTATGAACTATAATTGCTATGAAATATAATCTCTTAAAATGTGTAACTAAATGGTGAGAGGAAGCAGAAGAATGTACAGCATTAAGTAATAATGCAGGCATTAAAGTTATAATAAACTTCAGATGGTTAAAAATGTGGTTAGAAAGAGAAAAGGATGAAAGACGTTACAGAGAACATATTTAGGAAACCAAAAGAAGCTGGAATTAAGACAAGCAAATTTTCATAAAGCTAAAAATCTTTGTAGGATATGGTTAGTAAGTCAGAAAGCTGAAAACCTATGTCCAATTATGGTAAACAAATGGATCAGAATAGTAGGAAAAAATAAGATTTGAAATGAGGATAAATAAAGATTGTGGGCATCTAACTAGTGATAAGAAATTTGAATTTTATTCTTCAGAAAATAGAGACAAAAGTTCTGAACAAGAGAATGGCATTTAATGAACAATGGCATTTAATGAACAGCATGGATTAATCTCACAAACAACATTGATCAAAATAAGTAAGTTGCAGAAAAATACACACAGCATGCCACCTCTTACAAACTGCAAATGTGAAGCAAGGCTATGTTTTACACATATACACATTAAATGTATAAAGAAGGAATTGAGAATAATTTGAACCAAATCCAAGATGGCAGTTACCTTGGCAAGGGCTAGAGACTAATAAGGACGAACACAAGGGAACTTTACCATGTAGGCAATTTCACTTTTCTTTAAATAGGTGATACATGGATTCACTGTTTATTCTCTATATCTTTTTAGTGATGATGGAAGTAGCGTTCAAAAGAAGAGATACAAAGCCTGAAACCCGCCTGATGTTTGTAATGTTATTTGTCTATTAATAGCACAAGAAGATCCAGAATTTAAGGTAGGGAATTGGAGATTAAACTGGATTAAAAGGAAGGGTTGTAAAATTTATTTAGAAAGAATAAAATACAAGAAATGATGACTGATTGTGAGCAAAAGAAGGAGAGTATAAAAATTAAATCTTTCTGAAAAGAGGCTACTGTACACTTCTCTTTCCACCTCCTCTTTAAGTGACGTCACACTGTGGAACCACCAGTACTGATCTGAAATCAGCCACAGTGGGATTGTGTGCACCATAGAACTCTGAGAAAGTGACAAATCCATTCCACTTTCTTGTTTTTGTTTTTGAGAGTGAACTTACCAACACACTACTACTTATAAGCCATTAAACTGAAACTGGAGATAATGAAAGGAAAGGCAACTTCATTGAGAACAATGTTGTTTCTCATTACACTTCTAGCTTAGGTTCAAGGCTAACAAATTTTCTGAGGTTTACTAATTTAATTCACATCAGTTATTTTCTTAAATAAGGGACTATTCTGTGATAATATCATCTACATAGAGCCATTAAAAATATTTACTTCTGATTTTTCTCATAAATTCCTGTGGTAATAATCTGTACGATAATTTATTTAATATTGTATTCCTAAGAGGATAAGAGCACAGCAGGTAAAGGAAAAGTGAGTTATTTCTGAATAGAAGTGGCTCACCCAGTGTCTCCCATTATGCATCCGGACCATGTGTCCTCACATTTGCATTCACCTAAAAAAATAAATACAAATGCCTTTTTATAAAGTAAATGCAGCTGCATTCAAGTAATTTTTGTTTTTAAAACAAACATTGTTCTCACGTTATTTTAAAATACTTATTTTTAAAGTATGTCTGCTTTTTCATTGTTATACTTGAGGTTTTCTACGTAATGCATGACAACAAAAATACACTTTGACCCTATCAAGATAATATAATTTTTACTTAAAAATTTCCTGATAGCTAAACAAATTACCATATTTTTAAAAAGTCACTTACAATGACTTAAATGAAAAAAAATCAAGTACCAATGAGATAGTGAGAAACTTTGAGGAATCAAGATAGGATCCCAGTTTCACAGAACATTGAGGGAATTATTACCATTTCATGTCCTGTTTTTTTGTTTTTGTTTTGTGACTAGGGATTGAACCCAGGGGCACTCTACTCTAAGCTATACCCAGCCTTTTTCATGTTAAGACAGGGTCTGCCTGGTAAGTTGCTTAAGGCCTCACTAAGTTGTTAACACTAGCCTCGAACTTGTGATCCTCCTGCCTTAGCCTCCCAAGACACTGGGATTACAGGGGTGCACCATCACATACAACTTCTTGCCCACTTTTAAAAGCCTCTGTGCATACTGGCTAAGCAGAAGTGCCTCAGAATCAGGAATTCCTGGGTTTAAAGCTTGGTTTTCCATTTAACATATGTATAATCCTGGAGACATTATTCTTTCTTGAATAAATGATGCAATCATTTCCTCTGTGAAATAGGGGTAAAAATGGGCATCTTGAAGGACTCTTTTGAGAACTGAGTATAGATGTACATAATACAGCTTTCAGTCTTCTGGTAAATAATGAGTACTCTACGAATGGCAGAAGTTATTATTATAATTTTCCCACCATATTTATATTATTTGTTACTAAAATAATAAAATAGATATGGTTATAATCAGCTTGTTACAACAAATACATAGTATTTGACCATTAAAATAACTGGTGAAATAATTTTACCTACTTGCTAAATCTGGCATATTTACTATGTCTATATTTTACTACTCACATGATAAGGTCTGATCCCGACAAGAACATTCTAATTCTGTGGTCACATTTAGAGTTGTTTCAAATAAATCAAAATAAAACACTATGTCTGAAACTTATATGGCTAGGATTCTCAACTAGAGCATCCCAAAATGCCAAAATGAGCTTATTTTGCTCCTTATTAGGTTAAATTCAGCAGTGAACTATTATCACTTGACTTTAAGTGTTTATCATACAAGGCGAGGTTTTAATCAGGAATGTAAATATAACCTTGCATTACTTTTGAGAACAGTATTTTGTGTCCTGGCATATTTCTTATACTATCACCCACATATTTTTGATCAAGCAACTGAATCAAAGAATCTTATTCTACAAAATATGTAATCAATATTCTTTGAAATATAACTAAACTAGCCAGATTTAATAAATGTTAATATTCAGCCCTTTATCTTAAGAAATAAAACATGACAGAGTTTTAAAATATATATATAAACCACACATGTACTAAAACTTACCACTTGCTAATTTTCTTTTGTCTGAGATAATACCAATATTATGGGCTAATGATTGGGCAAGTGTAACTGCCATTAAATCAGTTTTCCCAAACTGAAAAACAAAAACAAAAATAAAAGATACATAAATACAATCTGGTTTTAAGATGAACCAGAGAAAAATGTTGCAATATAATTAGAAATAAATAGTTTCAAAGCATTTATTCAGCAGAGGCTAAACACCTTGTACCTAGCACTGAATGTCCGTATGGGATGAAACAGCAAGAAATAAATCCATATTTGATTAGATCTCATAGGAAAGACTAGAATTCTAAGAATCATCAACTCTTGAGTTTGGAAACTTTAATCTGAGTCCACATTTCACCCAGTAATGTTACTGAAAAATTTAGTACTTGCATATGATCAAGTAAGTCTTTTGAATAACACAAAATAAAAATAAATGTGTAAAAATTATTTGGAACTTGTTTGTTTTTAGGTGTCTATTTGACACTTGAAATTCCTCCCTCATGGAATAGAAAATAGTTTTAGAAAACAAACATAATGAGTAACAGAAAGTAGTCATGATCTCTGGCCTAAAGAAATTTAAGAAGAACTGAGGAATTTTTTTTTCAATATGCAGCCTTCCAAAGATTGAGTTATTTTTCTTCTAGATCATTTCCATCAAATTAGTGTGTGTAGGGGGTAAAAGAAACCCTTTGGTAATGCTCCTCTATTTTTTTTTTTTTGGTCTCCTAAAATTTGTCAAATAGTGAGGAAAAAAATATTTAGTTGCATTGTTAGGCAGCAATCCAATGCTTCAGGGAATTACTCAATTCTCTGGGAAATCATTCAATGATAAACAGGGCCTTATTTCCAACAATGGGTAAAGTAAAAATTCTATGTACTTTTATTCTGTAAACTGCTTGATCTGGAAATTATTCTAAGTAGAACAGGAGCAGAATTATCAGGTATCGTCTTCTGTTATTTGCTTGTTCTATCCTTTGGTCATGTTGATCACTAATAAAACAATCTAACACCTGAAGCACACGGAACACCAAGAAATTATCTCTTAAGTATGAGGAAAACATTTTCAGCCATCATACCACTTTGTACTGTATAGATGTTCACACCTACTTCATTCACGCCTCCTCCTTTCAGCAACGAGCAAATCCCACCAATATAAGCAGCCCCGCTCCGGCTACTCTCAAATTGACTTCCCCTTTTAGAAAAGGAAATGAAAAATGCTTACTGCTCACAGTTCAAACATTATAGCACCTCTCATTATTAATTCACCACATAGTACATTTTCTCAATGCATACAAAATTTCTATATTATATGTTCCTGAAGTTAGGGAGGAAAGCAAAAACTGTACATATAGAACCAAAGAAAAAGGTTTCTGAGGGATGTTTTCCTACATGATCAATAAATATCTTCAACTGAAGAACACCTATTGAAAAAGAATTTCTGATATGATGCACTCTGAGAAGGATACAAAATCACTGCTATAGTACTACTGCCCAAGATCAGATATTCCCACAATGGAAGCAGTCTATAAAGTAATAGGCTTACATTCTTTAAATGTGAGAAAGGCTGAGAAAATCTTTCTCAATGTCATGATCAAACATGATCTGTGATACTGGATGGGGAAAATGTAGCTATAAAGGAATTGTTGAGATACTTGGTGACGTTTGAATATAAAGTATGGCGCACATAGAAGTACTGCGTCTATGTTAAATTTCATGGTTTTATTGATTTACTATAGTTATGTAAAGGCATGTCTTTCTTCTTAGACAATATCCACTTAAGTACTTAGTATAAAAGGCCAGTGGGTAGGCATTTCCAACTTATTCTGAAAAAGTTCAAGAAAAAAAAATCAATGGATGAATGGAAGAAAGAAAGGGAGAAAGGAAAAAAATCACAAAATCAGTGGGATAAACATAAATAATTGATAAATCTAGGTAATGAGCATGTGTAATTTCTTTGTAGTACTCTCACAAATTTTCTCTAAATTTGAAATTATGTAAAAATTTAAGTTACCCCAAAACTATATCTTTCCTTCCAATTGTAGCTGTCTTCAACAGCTCAGGCTTTAGATGATGGGTTCTTAAAATGCTACTATATATATATATATATTTTTTTGCTATTAAATCAAATATGTATATTATCAAAAAAAAAGAACACACAAGTGAGAAAAACTCCAGAAATTTGGTTATTTTTGGTTAAAAATAAACCAAAAACAGTGATGACATTAACATTTAAAAGGCAGCAACCTTAGGGAATTTAATCTGTTGTTAAAAATACATCAGCAGTATTTTTACCAGTGAAGAAAGGCTGTGATTGAATCTTGAAAAATTAAGTGAAATAGATATGCAGTGATAAAATAGCTCAAAATCAAATCACCTAAAATTTCACAATAATTAAAATAATCTATACTTTAAACCTTCTTCCAAGTATATTGCAATGTCAATCCCAATTGTAAAGGATACATCTCAGTCACAAGTAATACAGCATTTAATATGAAACCATAAAAAAAGGAAGAAATCATTGCAAAAGTTACGTACGAAAAAAGGTGAACTGCATCACTTTTCTCTTTGATAAAATCCCTTCTGTATTTCATAAACTCACGTAGGGTGATCAATGGATTTTCAGATATGGCAAACTTGTTGTCAGCCGCCCAGGTTTCCATGGCAACCAATACTATCCTTGTCTTAAGTTGGTCTTTATATATCTAGTATATTAACAAAATGAACACACCAGCTATACATGCGGTAAAATCAAATGGTTTATGAACAGGGTACAGAGTTCTTTCATGGAAACTCTTTGAGTTTTAGTTACAGGTATAAAATGTTACTATTTTTAAGGGTGATAATTTTTCCTCAAATTTGCATGCATTTTACTTGAATAACAGAGAATCGAATTATTTACCAGTAAATACCCAACATACAAAACAGTTTTTAGTAAACATAAGCTCCTTTTTTGACAAATACTTGCATCCAATTCAAGGTTTCCCTTGAGTCCATTTTTGGGCACTCTAGACAAGAGAATTTATGCATTCTTGAGTTCCCCTAACAAAAAAAACAGAACAATGCAGATTCTCCAAGGAAACTATTTCTATACAAACATACTGGCCCTGACTAAACCTATGGGGCGGTACTGGCCCTGGCACTGCCTTGTCAGGGACCACATGGAAGGCCTCATCACCACAGCACCAGGTACCATCAAAAAGGTACAACTAACACTCTTCAAGGGGGCAGTTCATGTAGTCTCAGCACTCAGAGACGAGGTGGAATTATCACTTGAGACCAGGAATTCCAGCCCTGGCAACATGGTGAAACTTGGTCCCTGTCCCATGCCCTACACCCCTATCCCCACCAAGAGGAGAAGAAAAAGTGGCCAATTTCTCCACCTTCAGAAGCACACACATCTCTGCTGGGGCTATGACTCATCCTTTGTCTTTCACAGAGTGAAAAACACAGGAAGGAATTTCAGGGCAGGCCTATCTGTGGGTGATCTTGACCACTTCCTCTTTCCAGAAAGAGATGAAAGTCAATACATTCCATTGCCAGGTCACCAGGGCCTTTTAGGACACCGTGGCTAACGTGCAACTAGAACAGTGAAAAGGTAAGAGCCATATTGTCCCTTCTATGAGCAACCGTGTATGAGCAAATCACCGTGATACTTACTATATCTGCCATGTTCACCACAGATTTGGCATAGGTGTTGGTATGCACAACAGAAAGGCGGTGCTTTTTAAACTGAAAGCAAAAGAAAAAAGTGATGGGTTTTCAAAGTCATCGGAAGTAATCATACTACAGGGACACAGCCACATCAATGTTTATAACAGCACAATTCACAATAGCTAAACTGTGGAGCCAACCTAGATGTGCTTCAGTGGATGAATGGATTAAAAAAAAGTGGCATATATACACAATGGAATTTTACTCAGCATTAAGAAAGAACAAAACCATGGCATTTTCAGGTAAATGGATGGCGCTGGAGAAGATAATGCTAAGTGAAGTCAGCCAATCCCCAAAAAACAAATACCAAATGTTTTCTCTGATATAGGGAGGTTGACTCATAGTGGGATAGGGAGGGACAGCCTGGGAGGAATAGATGAATTCAAGATAGGAAAGAGGGATGGGAGGGAAAGGGGGGGTAGAGGTGTGGAATGTGATGGTCATCATCATACAAAGTACAAGTATGAAGACTTGAACTGGATGTCAACATACTTTATACACAAACAGGATATAAAAAGTGTGGTATTTATGTGTATTAAGAATTGTAATGCAAAAAAATAATAATAATGTTACCTTAGATTAGGTAGAGGGAAATGAAAGGAGGGGAAGGCAGGGGATGTGGGGATAAGAAAAATAGTAGAATGAAACAGACATTATTACTGTATATATGTATGTGACTGTATGACCACTGTGATTCTACAATATGTATATTCAGAAAAATGAGAAATTATATCCCATCTATGTATGATATATCAAAGTATATAAGTTCATTCTACTATCATGTATAACTAATTAAAACAAATTTTAAAAATGCGAACCAAAAAAAAAAAAAAAGAAGAAGAAGAAGTAGTAATTACCAGAGAAAACAAGGTGTAACAGAAGATCCCTAAGACTTCCTGGAACAAACATCAGATCTGAGACCTAGTTCTTTATCTGCTCTGTAGCCTGAAGCCAATCTCTTAAAAGCTTGAGACCTGTATTTACTCATCCATGAGATAAAGTAAAAAAATTTACCCGCTGCATGCATTTCACAGGCTTTTTTGTCTTTTTCTTTTTCCAGGACTATTATTCAAAACAATAACATGGAGGGCAGCTGTCTACAAATTGTAAGACATACAAATCTGAGTAGGGATATGGCTAGAAAAAGTGTCGTGAACACTGCCACAAGTATGAATATTTACAAGTTCTACAAGACTTTTTCAATAAGAAGAAAGCCCTAAGATAAAGGCTTCAAGGATGTGGCTTACAAGCCTAGTAAATCACACATACGTTTTGTTTGGCCCCAATCATGTTTTAAGAATCAGGAAATGATATGGAAAAATTTGATTCTGGCTTCGTTTAAAAGTAGCAAGCCTACCACGGTGATAACTGCGAGCAGCAAGAGGTATCGTCCCCCTCACAAACACTGGCTGCTACCCTCTCACCTCTCCTGGCTGCTTATTCCTGGGTCACTTCATTTACAGTATTCCTCCAGATACCGATGGATAACTGAGTTTGTAACTATTTAAAATGTTCAGATTGCATGGTCTTGCCGTTTATGCTTATTTTATAAAAATCCTAGGGAGGAGTAACATTCACTGAATTCAAATACAATGAAAGTAAACAGGCCTAGCCTGAACAAGATAATAATCAATCATGATTATTATTACTATTATTAGCAACAATAATAAAGAAGAATGTTATTATATATGTAATCATATATAAATTGATCAAATTTTCCTTCAAATTCATAAAGTAAATTAGAATGGACTTGTATCCGAAATTAAGTCCAATTCAATACTGAATATTTGTAGTTTAAAACTATTTCCATGGAAAATTAGCATTATAACTTACTGCCATGCTAAGAATGCCACCATACTGCAATATGCCCATTAATTAAATACACACACTGAAATAACGTGACTCAACAAGAAGGAGGCTTTGCCAGACTCCTCGGGCTCCTGATGTGTGCTTTTTCCATGTGATTTTCTGCATGGCAAGGCAGAAACAGGAAAATTGCTTTACTTTTATTATGAAGAAGTCGTACACTGCAAACTAAAGTGTCACATAATTGATGCCTCACTTACTTTTTTTCACATAAAATGAAAATTTTTGCTTTTCTTAAGCCTTGTCACTTTAGAGATTCAAATATTAGTACCCATATTAGTCAATCAAATGCAAAGAGTTGACATTATGGATCACAGAAATATTTTTGGAACCTCAAAAATTATTGCTAGTTACTTCTACCTAAGAGCATTTTCCACTTGTGGTTGACTGCTAGTTAATAAATACGTTTGGTTAGGCTAAAACCTCCCCCAGGACCAATAAAGTAGAGGAAGGGGATCAAGAGGAAGGGAGGAGGAGAGGGCATGGAGAAATAGCAGGGAACGAAATCTACCAAACTATGCTATGTCCATGTACAAATATACCACAATGAATTCCACTTATATATAAGTATAATGCATTAATTAAAATAATTATAATAGAAGTGAGATCTGTCAAGTACAGATCAGGAGGGTAGGAGGGAGGGAAAGGGAAGGAACTGGGGAATTAGATTGATCAAATTAAATTATGTACAAGCACAAATGTGGCATAATAAATCTCACTACTATGTATAATTATAATGCACCAATAAAAATAAGAAATACAATAAATTCTAAAAAAAAAAGACCCTCTAGATTACAACTTGAGAGCTTTCTAAACTTCTCTTAAACAAATTTTTGCACCCTCCAGTTTTACCCAAGGCATGGACAAGTTAAAATAAACAAAAACAAATCCTACCATGAGGTGATCATTCACAATCATCAGTTCGATGTATTTGGTTTCCTCTTCTACATTACGAGGATATCGAAGCTGCAGTGCAGTAAAAGAAGAAAAACCCAAATAAGCCCTTCTAAACTTAGTTGTGAAAAACTAAGAAATACATAAGAAGTCAAAAAAACAAAACATTCACTTTTTATTCCTTCAGACTTTTTTTAAAAAAAATTTCATCAATTTACTTAGTTTTTGAGTAGGTAATAATAATACATTTGCATGACTCAAAATGTCAACAGAGTATAAAAAGACCAAGCATTAAAGTTCCCCATCTACCCAGTTCCTACTCCTTCTTCCACAATCAATATTGGGAGTTACCAGCTTCTTCTAGAAAGATTTATACATAAAAGATTAATATGAATCTACTTTTTATTTTATACTTCCACTTACTTTACTCTCTTCTATATCAAGTTATTTTCATTTAACAGAACATCATGGAAACAGTAACATATGAACAGTAACATTAAATCTTCCTGATTTAATTTACTTTATTCTATAATCCCCAGATCTGGGACTGAGATGTGCTTCTCTCTCCTATATGGATCAAGGGATCCCCCAAATGATACAGGGGTTTTCCCAGAATAGCTTTTAGAGTTCTCAAGCAATATTGATTATCTATAACAGCAGGATTTCTCTGTTCAACAAAAAAATTTTCTCTCCTTTCAAAATCCTGATCAATGACTGTGTCAGGGAAGAGCCACTAAGATGGACATTCCCTTGGTTTTCTATAGTTTATCTATAACAAAATCTTTAACAAGACCTCTAAAATTAACTTTTTTCCTTATGCTACGGTTCAATACCCATGGTGTTTGTTTTTTTTTTCCCATCATATCTTTTTATTCATTTGGCTAAGAGATATTTTTGTGATGAGGACATTTAATCAAACCCAAATCAGTACATGTATGTTGGTTTTGAATGCTACATTTAAAACAAACTAAAAATATGTTGCCAAGCGGATTTCATTTCTTGCTAAATGCAACCTAAACATAAAATCTTTTTAAGAAAATCTCTTTTGGGTAGGGTGGAGGGTTAGGTACCTGGGATTGAATTCAGGGGCACAGGACTACTGAGCCACATCCTCAGCACTATTTTGTATTTTATTTAGAGACAGGGTCTCACTGGGTTGCTTAGCACCTCACTTATGCTGGCTTTGAACTCTGATCTTCTTGTGTCAGCTTTTGAAGTGTCTGGGATTACAGGTGTGCACCACTACACCCAGCTAAGAAATCTCTTATAACACCAGATTGACTGGGAATAACAGATTATATTTCTGAGACTGGAAACCAAAGAGTAAGATAAGTCTTTTTATAAGTGGATTATCAGGAGGATAGGATCTGATTTGCCAACTATGTGGCTTACTAATTAATATAGTAGCACTTACCAATAAGACCCAACATGTTTTAATGTCACAGAGTTGCCATATTGGCTACATAATTTGATAGCCCCTTAACTTCATGGGTCTTTAAGAGAAATCAAGGGTTTACCTACTTAGCAAATGACTAGATGTTCAGATGTTTATAAAGTACTTTAAGGTACATTCTTAAAGAACAGTATTGTATTCTCTCAATTCACAAAACATGAAAAAAATATAGTTTCAATTTAAAACCTAATGGTAAGTATTTTATCTATCTAACTGATCCTCAAGATATATGTGTCTCTGTATCTGCACAACATATATAAAGCTCATAGTAGTAATGCATAGAACACACAGGCTTCTGAGAGGCAGTACACAGAGCATGTGTTTCTACGAACATCTCTGAGGCCAAACTTCCTAATAAGAATAACAACTTCACTACTGAGTGACCTGGGCAAGTTTTCTCAGCATCTTGTGCTTCCTTATGTTTTTTTAGTGAAATAGGAATAACAGTAACACCTTCCTCATAAAGTTGTTATGAGGATTAAATGTGTTACAACAGTTACAAATTATTACGATAGGGCCAGGCACATGGAAAGTATTCAATAAAATTTAGCAAATGTTATATACGTAAGAATCTGTTTATATACATAAATTATTATAAGATAATAAAAGGAAGATAACTGTATCCTTCAACTGCTTGATCTTAATAGGTCTCTATTCCTTTACCCTGTGTAGTTTTCTGTCACATAAACACATTCACAAACCACCACCACCACAGTGTGTGGATATGTTGATTCTGATGGCCAGAGTTATTATTTTTTTTTTTGTCTAAATCATTTACAACTCAGTGATTCTGGGTCTTTTCCATATGTCATAGCTATCTTTCCTTTTTTTTTTTTCCTGTGAAAGGGCAATAAGAGTACCTACTTCATATGATATAAAGCACTGTCTGAAGAGTTGTGATTGTTGTTACTCAGTCTAAGGTCTGGTTAAGCAATCATAAAGCTTATGTCCTAATTTTATATCTGGATGCCAAAGTAACTTAAGTGAGAAAAAAGGGCTTTGTGCTCTCAGAACCCAATAGGTTTACTCTTACGGGGTAAAAGCTACAAAGGGATAAATACAAGGATACCACTGAAGCAGCCTGCATGATGTGGTGCACATCTGGGCAGAGAAGAGGCCCATGTTAGGAAGAACCTGGGATGCTGCCAGCCGGGACCTGGTAGCTCATTTACCTGATGAAGAACTAAATTATCACCACTATTTTGAATCCTTTTTGAAACTATACAATAATATGGTCCATTTTTACTGTTTCTACACATCTGTCACCTGTACTGCCTACCTCACAATGAAAAATACCTGAAATAGTACTTGCCCTCTCATAAAGACCAAATGTGGATTCAAATGATAGGTTTAAAATATCATGACATACACCTATGAATACATACCTGCCGTTTACTCCTTTTGGGTCTTGGTTTCAAAATAAATTTTGGTGGAGTGATGTTTATTTGCTGGAATTCTAGAAGGAAATAAAAATAAATTAAATTTAAAAGCACATTTGTCAAATTTATTTAGTACAAAGCAAAGTTTCACTTGACTCTCATGAATTTTATAATAATGTTGCATTTAATGATTATGCAGAACATTAAACTAATTGTTTTCTATTAGTTCTAAATAAATATATAGTAAAAAAAAACACAATTCACAAAATCTCAAACATCATCTCTGTTCTAATTTATATTGATTATTTTCCCTGTTTCTCCTATAAACACCATCACATTCTTTATCAAGAATCTTCAAACAGCCAACTTGACCTTCACTTCTGTCACTAAACTTGACTAAACCAACTTGACCTTCACTTCTGTCATTCTAGGGAAAGCAAAATAAATTAAAGAAGAGAAACAGTAAGAAGCAAGTAGAATAAACAATCACACATTCATAAGTTCATGACTTATTTAAAAATTATGATAGGCCACCAAGGTTTTCATTTTTTCCAATTCATTCACATTCTTTTTCACCCAGGATTTGTTTGCTCTTGGGAGCAAATGTGAAAATCCGAACCTCTCATAACTTGCAGGTCAGAATTAGACATCAATTATTGATGGACACAAATTCATCTCTGAATATAAGATTAGGTTATTTGGGGCTGGAGTTTTAGCTTAGCAGTAGAGCGCTTGCCTCGTATATGCACTGTCTTTGATTCCCAACACCACATATAAATTTTAAGCAAATAAAATAAAGGTCCATCAACAACTAAAACAATATTTTTTTTAAAAAAGAGATTAGATTATTTGTGTAGGATGATTTCCTACAAAGTAAAAATGCAATCATCCCCTGTGATACAGATTTCCTAAAACATTGATGGTTGATTGAACAACATGTAACAGTCTGATGTGAGCTTCTTATGGGAAGAATGCTATATAAAGTACAGTAAACTATTATCATGACTCTTGAGGACTGTTTGTACAAACTGAGAAGTTCTCTGAAATCACAATACTGTCCCCAAGTATGTTAAAGTGTTTTTTTTTCCTGATCCTATGAGTGAATTATTTTATTTATTAAAAAGTCACTATTTTATCAAAAGAATTATGAAAGTTCTTTTTATCTAAACTTGTGGCCAAGATTCATTTAAGTGAATTCATCTAGATTTCTTTCTCATTACCTTAACTGGATTGGTAGGCAATAAGTAATGAAATTGATTTCTGATTTTTTCTGAAATTTTTTATATTCATGAGATAGCAAAGCAATCCTGTCAAATGGAAGATAATCATGGTTGGAGAAATCTGAGACAGAAATGATGAATAATAAAATCAGAGTAAGAAGATCAGGATCTTGGATATTTATTAGTTCATTTTCAATATGCTTCCATCATTCTGCTTATGAAAATGTTTGCCAGGATACACAAGAAATTTGGTGAGAAGAGTAAGTTCTTTCACAATGAGCTAAGACACAGAAAAACAAGATGGCAGAATTAAACCAAATCATAATCAATAATTACACTAAGTGCAAATAGACCAAATGTTACAGCTAATTGGTTCAGATGGTCAAACTTGTATAAAATGCAAGGCCTAATTACATGCTGAATATAGGAGATACACTTTAAATGTAGAGTACGGAAGAAAATATGTCTTGCATACTTTAATCACAGGAAAGTTCTTCTAGAAATATTAATATCAGATCATGTCATTTTTAAAAATATATTTTTAGTTGTCAATGGATCTTTATTTTATTTATTTATAAAATAATAAATCAAACCCAGTGCCCCAAACATGCTAGACAAGCACTCTATCACTAAGCTACAACTCCAGCCCCCAGATCGTGTAATTTTAGGGCAAAAAAATATTATCAGGCAGAACAAGGAATATTTCATAATAATAAAATGATCAATTCATCAAAAAGATGCAACATTCCTACCAAAAACCATATGACTATACTTAGAAGTGAGTCCTTCCAAGGCAAAACTTAAAAACTAATTGCTGACCCAGTTAACAGTTACAATACAAACCTATGAGAAATTGTGGGCCAGGGGCACCAACTAAACCACACTTAGATCATTAACTCTCAGAAATGGTGAGATAATAAATGTAATTTATTGCTTAAAGACACTAAATTTTAGAATAATTCATCACATAGTAACAGATAACTAATGGAACTGCTGTACTAAAAATGACCAACACTAAGATAAATTCTAAAAGTCCTAGGAGGTGTGGTGGCACACACCTGTAATCCCAACAATTCAGGAGGCTGAGGCAGGAGGATCACAAGTTCAAAGACAGCCTCTGAAATTTAGCCAGGACCTAAGCTACTCATAGTGACACTTGTCTCAAAGAATAAAAAAGAGCTGGAGATGTGGCTTAGTGGTTAAGCACCCCTGGGTTTAACCCCCCAGTTCGTTCTTGTTCTCTAGTTCTCTCTCTCTCTCTCTCTCTCTTCTCATCTCTCATCTCTCTCTCTCTAAAAAAAATGTATTCATCAAATATTAAAAATTAGATCTGGATCATTCTCTCTCTCTCTCTCTCTCTCTCTCCCTCTCTCTCTCTCCCTCCCTCCCTCTCCCTCTCCCTCTCCCTCACACACATACACACACACACAAAAAAAGTTCTAAATTATTTTATTTCTTATGATTCAAAAGATCTGGGTGGGACTCAGAGTTTGTGTTTTGATCTGTTTTGCCGGTACTGGGATTGAACCCAGGGCCTCAGGCATGCTAAGCATGTCTTTTACCACTGAGCCATATCCCCTAAGCCAACATCCTAAAAGCACAAGAAGATCTCCTATGCCCATGGATTAGAAGATTCAATTCTGATGTCTGTTTTTCCACAATTAATCTATATGTTCAGTTTTAATAAGAATCTCAGAGGATTTACAAAAATTGAGAAGCTGGTTCTAAAACTGGAATGGAAATACAAAGGATTAGAAAAGCCAAAACATATTTGAAAAGAATAAAATTACCGAATGTATGCTACATGATTTCAAAATACACCATAAAGACATAGTAAGAAAAAAGTGTGGTACGGGCAACCAAATAGAATGGTGTCAAGGAAAAGACTTATTATTAATAATTTTTGACAAAAACATCAAAGCAGTTCAACTCAATGAAGATGAGAAACTCTTCAATAAATAGTGTTATAATAACTGGATATCCATATTCAAATTGCAAAAAAATTCAACTCCTACCTTTCACCATGCACAAAAAGTAATTTGAAGAAGATCACATATCTGAATATAAAAATAAAGCTGTACATTTTTTTGAAGAATATGTTGGAAAATATCTTGAAAACTTGAGGACAGAGAATACTTTGTAGAATAAAGAAAGCAATAATTGGGCTGGGGTTGTGGCTCAGCTCAGCGGTACAGCGCTTGCCTAGCATATCCAAGGCTCAGGGTTCAATCCTCAGCACCACATAAAAATAAATAATATAAAACTACATATTAAAAAAGAAAGCAATAATCATAAAAAAATGATGATGGGTTTCATCAAAATCAAAACAACTGTTCATGACAAGATACCATTAGAAAAGTGAATGAACGAGCTATAGACTGGTAAAATACAGTCATAAAATAAATCTAACAAAAGCCTTACATGCAAAATATGTAATTACTTCTTGGCCTTTTGACTAAGATCAAGGAGAGAATATGTAAGTACTCCTACAACCCAACAACAGAAAGAGAAAAATTCTTATTAATGTCTAGTAAGCATATAGATGTGACCAGACCCCACCAAAAATGCAAATTCAAGTAATGTGAGATACCACTACACACACTAGAATGGCTAAATGTAGACAACAATAGCACAGTGTTGGTCAAGATATAAAGCAATTAGAACTCTGACATAGTGCTGATGTGAAGGTAAAAGGGTTTAACCAGGTTTAGCAATTTCTCATAGAACAGAGTTCTCAAAGTAGGATCCCAGGATCAACAAAATTAGCATCATCTGGGGACTTCACCTGAAATGCAAATTCCCAAAACCCACCCAAGATTGAAAACTCTCAAGATGAGAATACCAAGTTAAAACCTCTCAAGATGAGAGTACCAAATTGAAAACTCTCAAGATGAGTCCTGAAATCTGTGTCTACTCGGCCCTCCCCATGTTTGTAATACATGCTAAAAATTGGAAATACTGTTATACAATTATACCTATATCCTATGACCTAGCAATGTCATTCCCAGGTATTTTCTAGGAGAAATAAAACATATGTCTACAAAAAAGACTTGTATAAGAATAATCACAGTTGCTTATTTGTAATAGCTAAAAACTAGAAACAACCCAAATGTTCATAAAAATAATAGATAAAAAGTTGTGGTGTATTCATATAATAAAATATACTCAATAATTTAAAAGAATAAACTATTACTTCTGACAACATAAATATCATAGGCATATGCTGAGCAAATGTGCTGGACACAATATATAATTCCATCTATTTGAAGTTTCCAAAATGGCAAAAATAGAAAAGTGAATGCAGAGGTGGAAGACACTGGGAAAGGCACTAAGAAGTTGCTGAGATAATAGAATTGCTCTGTATGTCAATTGGGGTACATATCAAAATTCAAAGAGTAATACACAAGATTTGGGAATTTCGTTTTTTAAAAACTGCTAAGGAGTCCACAGGAAATAAAATCAGCTTTTCCCAAACTGTGTTCCTAAGAACACTAGTCCTCTGATATGTGCCACGTAAAATAAAAAGTTCTAGAGTCAAATAAGTTTGGAGAAGATTATATTTTTATCTCTCAGGAACACATGATATACAGCAAGACGAATGTGCTGAAATTCCATATCTGTTAAATTTCATTCAACCTAAAAAAAATAAGCTTATTTTGAGCTTATTTCACAAAAATTGCAATTTTGACATTAATTTACATCATCTTCTTCTTCTAATTTATCATAATAAATTATAAGTAATCTTGAAAGACCACTCTTAAAATTGACAGTGCCAATTTCCTTCTTTTGAGCAGGGGTGAAGGGGGACCAGGGATTGAACTCAGGGGAATTTGACTCCTGAGCCACATCCTCAGCCTAATTTTGCATTTTATTTAGAGACAGGGTCTCACTGAGTTGCTTAGCACCTCGCTTTTGCTGAAGCTGGCTTTGAACTCACGATCCTCCTGGCCTCAGACCCCTGGGCCCCTGGAATTACAGGCATATGCCACCGCACCCCAGTGATAGTACCAATTTCTGATGAAAAAAGAAAACTAGAAATTGATTGAGACAGACCTGAGTTTCCAAATAATGAATCTAAAAAAAAATCAATTACAACAGCAATACTGCAAAGTCACCTTCAAAGTTTCTTCTAAAAAAAAAAAAAAATCCTGAACAATATTTTTAAAAAACTGTAAGTTTGAGCCACAGCAAGCCTATAATCAAGTCTTTTGGAGGAATCTTTACTTATTACTTTAAAAATTAATGATGATTGTTTCCAGTAATACCTATTAAATTGTAGCTTTATTCTCATGCAGCTAATCATGATTTACTTTCTGGTCATAATGGGCATAAAGGTCACTGAAAGAACAGTCTAACGAGTCTGTGTAAAGTCAAAGCATCTGTGTGTCCATTTGAGAATTTTTCAAAATAGTGCATTCTGTGAAGTAAGATCTTGTATCTATTTGGCAGTAGGTGAGAAGGAAAAAGAACTCATTTCTTTTTAGGGGAACTGCAGGAGACCAAGGACGTATATACTTATTTCAGAGGAAGGTAACCACAAAACACTTATTTCATTTTTCAATGAAGAGGCAATATGAACTTATAAGTGATTTTCTAAGCTGTAATTTTGGATTTGCTCTCAGGCTGACAATTTTTCCATTTTGTCTTGTAACTCTATCCCATGGTACACTTCTATAGTATCATTATCCAGTGCCCCACCTTGTCCCTTATGAGCATTAAGACCCTGGAAAAGACAAAGTATTTAAGTCTCTTCTTCATCTATTAAATAGGGATAACATTCATCTTACAGAGTTGTTGCAAAGTTTGTATTATGATTAATAGGTAGTATGCTCAGGGCTCACTAAATAGAGGAAGGAGCATCTTTTTACCACATATTCAGTGTGCCCTGTTTTCAAAGGAGGGAAACAGATGAGCCCAGCATAAGCAAAAGTGTTGCACGTACATGATCTCCGCCCCACTAGTAAGGCCCAGGTATGAGAAGCTGCTCTGACAAGTTGGGTGCAATTCTCAAACCAAATATATAAATAAAGAACCTACATGCAAAGAAAGGACTAATTTTACAAATAGCACATAATAATATAAAAGGTTAATCTAATTTTTTATTAAAATATTGATTCAAAAAAAGAGATATGAAAATAAGAATCTGCATAAATAATTAAGAATTGTCCCTTGAGGGGGAATAGGAATAGGAAAGGCAGTGGAAAGAATCTGACATAACTTTCCTATGTACATATATGAATATGCCACAGTGAATCCCACTGTTGTGTACATCCACAAGACTTGGTCCCTAATCAGAAAAAATACATTCCATGCATGTATAATTTTGTCAAAATGGACTCTACTGTCATGTATAACTAAAAAGAAATAATAAAAAAGACTTCATTCCTGTTTACTAGATAATTATTTCACCAACATGAATTTTACATACTTTATCTATGCAGATCAATTCTTACTCTAATATTTCTCCTCTAGTTCCTTATTTTGAGTATTAAATTTTAAGTTTTTCTTCAAAGTGCTTGAGCCATATTTTTCCAAACTTAACTATAAATACAAAGCCAGTTTGCGTTTTATTTTTTCTCCTGTTGCAACTTGACTTTCCCTCTAAAAATGTCACAAGCAATTGTGGGTTAATAATATTTCACATATAGATTAGTTCTAAAGTAGTAAATGAATTACTGAAGTTGTCCTTAAAACAAAACAAAACATTAGACAAAAAAAAAAAGTCACTCTATGAGTAACATACCAGATGGAAGATCATCCATGGGAAATTCAAAGAGTCTGGATTTGTAAACCGAATGAAAATGGAAATCCTCCTGAAATGACACAGCAGTAGAAATTAAACATGCATAACCAGATATCTCTAGCCTCAAGCAAAAATAGACGGAACCCTAAGAGAACAGTAACTTGACTACACATTTCCCTTGGGTTTAAAGAGGCCAGAAGCCATTGCACAAGGCTTCCAGCTCACAGTGCATTCCCCCAGCACCAGAGCTATACCCAATTATAAATGCCTCACAGACAGAGAAGCCAGAGCTTACAGTAATGGAAAATAAATGAATGGACTTATCCCCCCCAAGGAAAAGTAAGACATCTGGGAAAATGGGTTAATGTTTTTTACAACTGGTTCCTTTCACAGATCTCTGTGCCCCTGGAAGAGCCAGATAACTTTGGTAGAGAAAGACTACAGAGCTAGAAATCTCTCTGGTAATGAGCAGCAGGATGACTCATACAAGGAGGTGCCCAAAGTAGACCCTGCTCCAAAATTCAAGTGTTACACACAGTTCTCCTAGGAAGTAAGAGATTTTAAAATCATATTCTTCTTTTTTAGAAAAATTAATGAACACTCAAGTAATTTCATCTGGCTTTATCCAATTACTGAAAAAAAATGAGAATGTCATAAATAGGCAAGTTTCATGATATTGCTTTTTTAAAAAAAATCACACTTGAAATAAAGTGACAGGGACAGCCAACAGTGCATACCCAGACAATAATACACAATCAAGATTACTTATGGGGACAAAACAATGTGCATTGTTTGAAATTACTTGCCTCTCCATTTAACCAATGTTGCATGATACAAGAAAGAACACTTGTATGTACAGAGCTAGAATGAACACATTATATTTCTCTCGAAACTGTAGTCTTTTTTTTTTTTTTTAAACCAAGGATTGAACCGAGTGGCACTTAATCACTGAGCCACATCCCCAGCCTTTTTTCATATTTTATGTAGAGACAGGATTTCACTAAATTGTTTAGGGCCTCATTAAATTGCTGAGGCTGGATTTGAACTTGCAGTCCCCCTGCCTCAGCCTCCCAAGCTGCTGGAATTACAGGTGTGCACCACCATGCCCAGCTCTAATCTATAATCTTTATTCAATTCTTCTCTAATTCGTAGGAAATATTTCGCCTAAAGTAAGGGAGGAACTTTAATAAATCTTGGGTTTCTCTAAACTCCATTGGCACAGAGCCTTAAAAGGAATGAACAATGGAGAAAATTTTAAAATCAAGAAAAGAAAGGATGGGTTAAAAATCACACATCTGTGGATTTTATCTGTATGGACTAAATGTCCCCCAACCCCCATCAATTCACAAGTTGAAGTTTTAGAGCTGCCCTAACACCATACTTGGAGATAGGGCCTATAAGGAGATAATAAAGGTTAAATGAGATCAGAAGAGGGAGCCCTAATTTAGTGTGACTGATGACATTACAAGGACAAGAAGAGATAATGAGAGATCGATCGATCCCCTCCCCCAATGTAAGCACATAGCAAGAAAAGTATCTATCTGTCACTCAAAAACAGAACCCTCACCAGCCACCAACCCTGCTGATTTGGACCATGCAGACTCCAGAAATGTAAGAAAAAAAAAATGCTGACTTTGCCACTCAGTCTATGGTATTTTAAGGTAGACCAAACTAAGACAGATCAAAGCTAGAAATGGAGGCTTTAGAACATTTCCCAGGGAAAGTATTTCCAACATAAAAGAGAAAGAGACAAAATAAAATAAAACTTTTTAAAAACTTGTGGCTTTGACTTATCTAATATTTAATTAAAAGAATCTTAATGTGTTTGTGTGTACTATCCTAGCCTTACAAAATATGAAAATAAAATTTAGGGAAAAAGGGAGGGAAAGCTCTCAACATCAACATTTCCATTTGCTACTGCAAATAGAGCACTTACCTGGGCCGTCTCATTTTCTTCTGGCTCAATGAGATATGTGTGGTTCCCATCATAGAACATTCCACTGCCAAGGACAAGAAAATCATTAGGCATGACTATTAACTCTCATCTCAGGACAAGATCATTTTAAAATCAGCAGCAGAGAACCAGTTACTTTCAATGCCTATTTCCCAGTCCCATCCATCACCTCCAGGTAAACTACACATCACACACCACACATACTCTGCTAAGAGGAAAAAGCCCACTTCCTCTGAATCTCCCTGAAATGGGCTCTCTCATCCTGAAATTGCCATTCTCTAGTTGTTATGCAGTACTCCTCCCTCTAACTTATAATTCCAAGATTTTAATATACAAAAGCTCACCTAGAGTTTTAGAACCCTTCTCAGATTTCTAGGTGAGGACTTAGAAAGGTACATTTCAAACAAAACCCAGAGGATTCTAAGGCTGTCAGGACCAAGTTGACAATGGCTCCCCTACCTCATACCTGAAAGATGTTCTGATAGTAAGAACTAACACATATTAATAACTTGCCATGAGCGAAATATTTGTACTCATTTAATTGTTCCCACAAATACATGAGGTAGATACAATGTCTACCTTCATTTTATAGGAAAGGAAACAAAAGGCTAAAGAGATGAAGTAACTTTTGCAGATTATATAACCATTAAGGATACAGGTAGGAATGGAGCCCAGGCAGATGGGTCCATGAACTGCCCATTTGCAACCTGCTGCCCTCCTTCATTCATGCAGTCATTCAACTTGTGTTTACAGAGCACCTGTGCACTGTTCTAGGTGCTGGGATATAGTAGTGAACAGAACAAATGAATGCTCTATCCTCATAGTTTTTTGTTTGTTTGTTTTGCTAACATGCAAACTATGAAAAACAGACAATAAATATGTAATAAACAAATAAATATATATTAGATGGTGATAAATTTTAGGGAGTAAAATAAAGCAGGTTAAGGTCAATAAATGGTTCCAAAAATTGGGTCTGGGGGATCAGAGAGCAGGGACTGTTGATTTATATAGGTGGTTAAAGCAAGGCTTCACAGAGAAGAAGGCATTTCAGCAAAAACCTAAAAAAGGGATGATCCATAACTATGTTTGTACAAAGAACATTTCAAGTCCAAGGAAAGAGAATCTTGGAATGGGTGAGGGAAAGAGTACCATAAAGTGAAATCAGAGGGCTAGTGGGAACCATATTAGGCAGGCCCTTTTTAGGGCCTTGACTTTTACTCTAAAAGAGGAGAAGAGTTAGACTCTGTAGGCTTCTCAGCAAGAGAAACACAGTCTCTGCTATTTAAAATGATCATCCCAGCTGCTGTGTTATACTAATATTTAGAACAGCAAGGACTGTAGCAGGGATTACCGCAATACCCAGGAGAAAGAAGTTGGTGGCTTAGATCAGGTCAGTAATGGCAGAAGTGGAGAGAACTAACCAAATTCTGGATATATTTATGTATTTATTAGCTTTCCTTTTTTTTTGATTCTGGAAATTGAACCCAGGACCTGGCACAGGCTAAGCACATGTTTTGCCACCAAGCTATACTCCCAGCCTGGATATATTTTGAATATAGAACCAATTTGTTGATAGATTTGATATGGAGTGTAAAGAGAGAGAGAGAGAGAGAGAGAGAGAGAGAGAGAGAGAGAGAGAAGTCAGAGATGGAGCTGTAATTTAACAAGATAAAAAAGGTTATGAGAACAGCACAACAGGGCTGGGTCAAGAAAGTAAGGAGCAAGGAGCAGAGCAAAAATCAAGATTTGGTTTTGGACATTTAGGGTGAATGTGGCTCTTTGTCATATGAGAAATCCTCTGATTTCTCAATTTCCACTCAGAGAGATTCTGATAGACACTCCTTTTTGAAGACCATGATCCTTTTATTGAAATAAAGCCTTTTATGATACTAAAAAAACTTGCCTTACCATTCAGGCATTTGAAGAAAGCAAAACTGTGATCTTCTGCAGTAATTCTTCAGTTTGAGGTAGAAATGATTGTATGACAACCAGGCTCTTAGACACAGAATGGTATTTGTCTTCCATAGAAGCCTTAATGAAATCAGTTGGTTTCCCTGAGCTATAATTATAATGGCTTCCAGTTCTGCTTCTATCTAAATTTTTTCATTCCTGCTATAACATCTTCCACATGTCCCAAAATTTTATATATCCATGGGATGGCTATTCTCACATCTGTACAGTTTTCAAACACAGTGCACTTTCTGAATTTGGATGACATTGCATTTGAAATTTAAAGATAAACAGATGTCCTTAGTAAAATAACATTGGAGATATATGCCTAAGGAATCATAAGAGGGATCCTTTCAAAACAGTAGACCAAATATGGTAGTGGACATTCTCTTGACCCCTGCAGAGAACTGAAAATAAAACCATCACCATTTTCTAAAGTTCACATGGGAACAGTGATTAAGTAGCAAGCAGATTATTTTGTTTAAATAGGACTGGGTGTTATTTGCCCTTGCATTAGGTTAACATCCAATGTGAAAATTGGTTCTTTTTATTGAATCTAAACATTATGTACACAACATATGAAAAGCAGATCCTGGCGCTGTAATTGGAAGATATTGGTTTCCTGTGAAAATATGCCATTATTAACTCCTTAATAATCAAAAAATACATGTGTTTTATTTCATTTGTTTGAAGATTGACACCTTTTGTTATAATAGTTTAAATTCTAATGAGAATATTGAGTCCCTAACAATATATTCTTTTTTTTTTAAAGAGAGAGGGAGAGAGAGAGAGAGAGAGAGAGAGAGAAGTTTTAATATTTATTTTTTCAGTTTTCGGCAGACACAACATCTTTGTTGGTATGTGGTGCTGAGGATCGAACCCAGGCTGCATGCATGCCAGGCGAGTGCGCTACCGCTTGAGCCACATCCCCAAGCCCCATAACAATATATTCTTGATAAAAATCTGTAGCTAGGACCAAGTCATTACAGACCAATTAAGCTAAAACTTTATAAAGCTGAATCAAAACAAGATTTTGGAAGGAAACATCAGCTATTCTCGCAAATTTCCACAAGAGGGCAATATACTATAAGATTTTTGTCATAACATCAAACATCCTAGGACCAAAATATTACCTATTAGTCCTTTGATTTTTTTTTTTAAGAAATGTGCCCTCACATGCTTCTTATGGAAAAGACATATGAATCTGATTTTTCCGTTTTTATATTCTTTAACTAAATACCATAAATCATAAAAACGAATAAACTTCAATAGGCACTTGGTAATTTATAAAAGATGAATCATGTATAAACTAATATATCTCATGTCTAAATCACTGTAATTGAGACAACCTGTATTATTTAATACTTAGTGACAAAATGTTCCTGAGAGCAATTTTTATTCAGAAGGTAAAATCAAGATGAAAAGTAATAATTAATAAATAACAAAAAGGTACAACAATCTAACGTGCTCCAAAATATCAAGAAAGCCCAAACATGGTTTTACAAAATTCTGACAGTGTCTCTAGACACAAGCTGACTTTTCTGTGTTCAGTTTTGCTTAGTTTTAAATGAAAGTTTCTAAAGGTAGAAGTAAATTTTACTTAGTTAAAATAACTGAAGTCCAAAAGCAGAAATATGTGTTCTACTCCTGATCCAGACTCATTATAAAATTTCCTGAAAATAATTATTTCATGATTTTTTTTTTGGGGGGGGACTAAATCCAGGGACACTTTACTACTGAGCTACATCCCCAGTCCTTTTTAGGGGTGGGAGGAGGCAGGGTGTGTGCCAGGGGCACTCCACTATTGAGCCACATCCCCAGCCCTATTTTGTATTTTATTTAGAGACAGGGTCTCACTGAGTTAATTAGCACCTCACTTTTGCTGAGCTGGCTTTGAACTCACAATCCTCCTGTCTTCAGTCCCCCAAGCCACTGGGATTATAGGTGTGTGCCACTGTGCCGGGTTCCCAGTCCTTTTTATTTTAGTGACAGGGTCTCATTAAGTTTTTAGAGATTCGCCAACTTGCTGAGGTTGACCTCTCTACCAGACTGAGCTCTCAGGACTCATGCTTCAACTGCCTTAATATTTTCCTAGTCGTTGATAAACAGCAAATACTCAATAATTGCTTGTGAGACAAGAGAGCTACATTTCTAACTTATCAACAGAAAGAAAATATTTTAAAGTTTCTCAATAAAAAAAATTTAACAAAACTAAATTATAGTGCTAACTTGTTCAGTACCAAAAAACATAAAACAAACAAAAAGGAAAAGAGACGATTCAGTTTAAATAGAAGGCCAAGCAATGACACATTAGTTTACAAGATGTTGCGAAACAAATAAGTGATGGCCACCTGTGTATCACCATTATTGACAGGACGGAGGAAAGAGATGTATTCCCATGTCAAACATCAGAAAACACTCTGTGATCACGAAGGTTATGAGAAAGGAAGCAAAAAGAATGAACTTCGTTCTTTGGAGATCTCTGAGAATATACGGATCCTCCCACAATAGCTATGAGGTAGGTGGAATTCTGGCAGGAGAAAAAAAAAGGGCTCTCGAGGTCACTTGCAGCCTTCTGTCTTTATTCAAGGAGCCCAGAGTTTCCATTTACTGAAGTTTCCATTATTCCATGAACATATAAAAACTGATATTAAGGAAGAGTGGGGTAAAACTGGTACCAAGGGGCTAAACATCCACAGAAACTGAAGTTACCAAACCACTCCTGTCGGAATTTGGATGAAACCTGAAAAATGTCCCCTATATCACTGTTGGGCATCATATTTATAATTCCAAAGCCTCTGGTTTCTATAATTTTAATTTTAATTTTTTTTATTTTTTAAAAATACTGATTTTTTAATTGTAGTTGGATACAATACCTTTGCTTTATTTATTTATTTTTATGTGGTGCTGATGATCGAACCCAGGGCCTCACACTTGCTAGATGAGTGCCCTACCACTGAGCCACAAGCCAGCCCCGTGCAACTTTAATTTTAAAATTCCCTTGGTTTAAATACCACCCCCCCACACACACACATACACATACACACAGAATTATCACTAATTTAAAATTATTTATTGAAATAAAATAGAAACTTCTATTTAAAATTTTTAAAAATACATATATTGAAAGAATGAATAAAAAAATAAACTTTTGGACACTTACTGAAGTCCATGACATGTTGACAATGCAACAAATGAGACAGGATTTCCTCGGATCTGGCCCTGGTAGTAACAGTGCTCTCCTCCCTGAAAACAGAAACAGAGGACAAGGAGAACCAGCAGCACCATTTCAGTAGAGGTTTCTGCTCCCACTGCACTTGCATGTACCATAACGTTCTATGCAATATGTCATTATTCAGATTAGCATTATCAAACCACTTCTAACAGAATTATTCAGAAATATTCCTAACGAGATGACTTCAAACCCAAAGAAAGGGAAGAAAAAGTTGACTTCATTTTCTTTTTATGTATGTGGTAGCAGAGAACAAAGAAACAGATATTAAAATACATACATGTTCCATGCGACAGAGTAAGTTTAATCATCTATGTCCCGAGTTATGAGATATTCAATCTCAAGCAGCAGTAGAGGAATGCTTTCACATGGAGCTAAGTAAAATGGACTATAAATTATGTAAGAGTTACTAAATTATAAAGATGGAGAAAGAAATGACTGTTTTTATGATGTTTATCTCAAAACTTGACTGCTACACATAAAAAAAGAAATTATATAAAAATATTTTTGATGAATATAGATACAAAATCCTCAACAAAAATATCTGTAAATCTAATTCATTAGCAGGGTGAAAGATCCTATATCATGATCAAGTAATCCCTGGCTTCATTCCAGGGATTCAAGGTTGGTTTAACATATGCAAATCAGTAAATGTAACTCACTACATAAACAGAATCAAGGATAAAAGTCACATGATCATCTTAATAGCTGCAGAGAAAGCATTTAATAAAATCCACCATCTCTTCATGATAAAAACCTTGAATAAACTAGGTATAGAAGGCTCATACCTCAACATAATAAAGGTTACATATGACAAATCATAGTCAGCATCATATTGAATGAGGAAAATTGAAAGCATTTCTTCCAAATCAAAAACAAGGCAAAGGTGTCCACTCTCACCACTCTTACTCACATAGTACTAAAAACTTTAGTCATACAAGGAAAAAAAAAATAAAAGAAAAACACATAGAAACACAGGAAATCATATTATTCCTATTTGCAGATGATATGATTCCATATCTAGGAAATGCTAAAAAGTCCACCAAAATTTCTTAGAACTGAAAAATAAATTCAGTAAAGTAGCAGGATACAAAATCAAAATACAAAAATTAGTAGCTTTTCTATACACCAATAATAAACTCACTGAAAAAGAGATCAGGAAAATAATCCCACGTGCAACAGCTTCAAGAAAATAAAACAAAATACCTAGAAATAAATCTAACAAAGCGAAAGACCTCTACAATGAAAACTGTAAAACACTGAAGAAAGAAATTGGACACCAGAAAGTGGAAAGACCTCCCATATTCATGAACTGGGAGAATGAAGATTGTTAAAAAGGTCATACCACCAAAAATGATCTACAGAGTCAACACAATCCCCATCAAAATAACAATGACGTTCTCCACCAACCTAAGAAAAGCAATCCTAAAATTCATGTGGAAGCACAAAGAACCCCAAGGAGCCAAAGCAATCCTGAGCAAAAAGAACAATACTGGAGCCATCAAAATACCCAATTTCAAAATACGCTATCAGCCACTATAAGAAAAACAGTATGATACTGGCATTAAAAAAAAAAAAAGACATAAAGACCAATAGAATAGAAGAGAGGGCCTAAGAACAAATCCACACATCTTTGTTTATATAATTATTGACAGAAGAATGAAAAACCTATGTTGGAGAAAAGATAGCCTCTTCGATAAATGGGGATAGAAAAATTGAATATCTACAAGCAGAAAATTGAAACTAGAGCCCTATCTCTCACCCAGTATAAAAATCAATTCAAAATGGGTCAAAGACCTTAAGAACTGAAACTTGGAAACTACTAAAAGAAAACAGAGGGGAAACACTTCAAGATATAAGCATAATCAATGATTTCCTGAACAAGACGATAGTTCAGAAAATAACAGCAAGAATTCACAAATGGGATTATTTCAAATTAAATAGCTTCTGCATAACAAAGGAAACAATCTACAGAGTAAAGGAACAGGCTAAAGAATGGGAGAAAATCTTTTCCATCTATTCAGCTGACAGAATTATTATCCAGAGCATATAAAAAAAAACTCAAAAAAACATAACACCAAAAGAACAAGTAATCCAATCAATAAATGAAAAAATAAGCTGAATAGATACCTCAAAGGAAGCATAAATGACCAATTAAGTGAAAAAGTACTCAATGTCTTTATCCATCAGGGAAGTGCAAATCAAAACTATACTGAAATTTCATTCAGAATGGCTATTATCAAGAAAGTAAAAAATAACAGGGCTGGGGATGTGGCTCAAGCGGTAGCGTGCTCGCCTGGCATGCATGCGGCCTGGGTTCGATCCTCCAGCACCACATACATACAAAGATGTTGTGTCCACCAATAACTAAAAAATAAATAAATATTTTTAAAAAATAAAATAAAATAACAAACACAAGTAAGGACATTGTGGGTGGCAGAGGGGAAGGAGCTCTGAGACACTGTTTGTGGGAATGTTAACTAGTACAACTACTATGGAAATCAGTATGTAGGTTCCTCAAAAAAACAAAAATAGAATCACCATATGATCTATTTCTACCACTGCTTGGTATACACCTGAAGGAACTAAAACCAGCACACAATAGAGGTATCTGGATACCTATGTTCATCACAGCACTAGTCAAGTTATGGAATCAGTCTAAATGCCCATCAGTGGGTGAGTGGATTTTTTAAAAAATGTGTTATATATATATACACTATGGAGTATTATTCAGCCATAAAGAAGAACAAAATCATGTTACTTCAAGAAAATGAGTGAAACTGAAGATGATTATGTTATATGAAAAAAGCCAGAGTCAGACAAGTATCGCATATTTTCTCCCATACACAGAATCTGGAGGGGAATAAAAAGATGACATTAAAGCAGAAGGGGGGAGTCATTAGGGAAGAGGGAGGGAGTCAGGTGATAGGATGATAAAAGAGCATAATAGGGAGGGTAGATATGAGCAAAGAATGTTGTATGCATGTATGAAAATGTCACAAAGAATTAACATGTGCTAGTAATTAAAATATTAGAAAAAATTGACCGTATCTAAGTTTATGTTATTCTTTTCTAAAACCAGGAATGGCTTTACGATTAAGCAGTCCAGCAATAGGGTTTGAGATGGTGAAGTGTCTTCTATCAGACAGTCACACTAAATTCTATTAAGATTCATTTGTTTAGATTAAATGTGCTTGGAAAAGAAAAGAGGGTAAATCCTCTGACATCTTACAATGTTGCTTTAAAATACTTCCTAGGCTACCTGGTTCAAAGACCAGCAGCACTGACATCATCCAAATCTTCTTAGAAATGCCAGTCCCAGACTAACTGCATCAAAATCTGCATTTTAACAAGGTCCCTAGGCAATTCATATGCACATTAAATTTTGAGAAGCTCTGCTCTAAATGACCTTTTCCCATTCTCCTACTAAGCTCCTGTTTCTTCAGTAGTTGAAAGCTTATAATTAAATTGACTCATTGAGACAAGAAAAAATAAAAGAGGAAGGACTGATAGAATGAGTAGTTAAAGGGGAAAATAAATGTTACCTACTTTAATCTGGCTTAAGTGCTAATCCTACTTCAAATATTCAGTGCTTGACAAGGGGAGAGAACAGAAAAAAAAAATGAAGATTTAACAAGTCCAAAGACATTTTCTTTACCAGAATTCCAAGGAAAACATCCTGCCCTGAGACTACATTGTTCATGAGATAATTCCATCAGAGTCGATGAGTCTCAATTTTGAGGAGGGAGTGGAGAGCAGATTAAATCCTACACAACGCAATCCCTGGCCCTGTAATACCTCTAAAAGCCCAGAGGAGTCACTGAGCACCGTGAACCAGGGAATGTGGCTGGATTTAATGGAGAAGACAGAATGGTGTTTCATATATGGGTCAGACAATGATGGACCGTAGAAGGTCACAAGGACTTGGGAGCAGATAGGAGTCTTGACAAAAGGACATAGGAAACTGACTATGTGAGAAGAATTGGTGTGATGTAAGTGTTGTGTGTTTGTTTTTTTCAATGTTCAGTTTCCTTTAAAAACCTCCATCTCTCTGAAGGGCGGGTGCAGGCAACTAGAGGATAGCAAGAGATGTTCACCTGACTTGCCCTGATTGAAAGCTTCCCCCAGGTGCTGGAAGCCCCCCCCCCCCGCCCCCCCAGGAAAAGTACTCTTGAACCAGCAGCTGGGTCTCCTCACTGGCAGGATCTGGTTTCTGCCGTGTATGTGACTCCTACTCTACCTGTCAATCTAGACTCAGCAGAAAGGCAAGCTCCTGCCCTGGGAAGACCCAGACTCCAGAAATGGAGCTGCTGTTCTTGGTTCCAAAGAGGATGACACTGACAAAGGAGTTCTTCCTCAGCTTGTCCAATTGCTGAAACATTCCAGTGATGAGGGTGCAACCCATGAAGGTCTGGGTGAGCTCTTCAGGAAAGCCATACTCAGCATGCCACAAGGACCAACCATCTTTATCCAAGTGCTCCCAATAATAGTAGCACCTCAGACAGCATGTCCTGTGGGAGTATTTGCATTTAAATTCATCCAACACAAAGGCACACTTAGGCAAAGAGGACCTTGGCCTTGGGCTCAGCAGCCAGTGCCTGCTCATGTTCATCCATCTCTTCCTCTGGAGCTGGGGCAACTACCTTTTCCTCCTCTTTCCACTCGGTCTGGGGCTTCTACTTCTCTTCCCATAAACACTTGTCTTTCCATGGTGAACCCTTCTCTTTCCATGGTGAACCCTTCTCTTTCCATGGCATGTTCTTTATAGGCTGGCTCTCTGCAAACTTCTTAGCAAAAAACTGAGCCATATTCTCACACAGCTTCACCTCCCACAAGAAAGCCCCCCGAACTGGGGCTGGTTAATGTCAGGTAAGGAACCCATGATTGGTATTGGGTAAGGCCTGGTGGAAAGAAGGATCCAAGACCTGTTTCTGGAGTCACAACAGGGTACAGACAACTGTGATGTCAGCCAGTGTCACTCATTCACCAGGAAAGTCCTTGTCTTCAAGTGAGC